CAGTACATTCCTGTCTGAAGTCCTCTCCTGATTGAGAAAAGCATAGATATAGTTTAGGATTATGACCCCGGCCTTTTTTTAAAAAGCGATACCAGAAGTGATTCATGGAAATTTGCTTTGAAGCAGTTGATATATGACATTTTGGAGAGCAACCATTGTTAATGGAGATGTGTTCAAATATTTTTTTAACAAATGTCCTTAATTGTCATCAACACTAATCAATCGCCACACAGATACTCCTGGAGCACTAAAACAACAAAGTGGCCTCCTACCTATCTGGCTAATTGAGACACTGTGTTAATGACAGCACCTCTGGAGCCAATCAGAAACTAGAGATGTGTTACTGGGTAGAGCAGGGTGCAGAGCTTGTGCTGCTATTGGCTGTGGTTGGATTTTCTTTTAGTGATTCCTGAACAGATGATGTGCCTGGTCCATATGGCAGACCTCTGGGACTCCTTTGTGTTGTGACTGATGTGACTTGCGTCAACTTTAAAGGCTTCCTCCTTCACTTTAAGACCCTCCCTCACCCCCCACCTCTGCTGCTGATCTGCAGGATGAATGGGGAGTCTGCTCCAGTTGATCAGGGAAAGTGTGCCTTTCGTTTTGTATACAGCCTCCTCTTCCTCCTCCCCCTGCAGCCGTGCAGCCTGCACACTCTCAGTTCCAGACTTTGTGTTTAGTGAAAGAGGCCGTCTCAAATGTCATGTGCAGCCAACAGCAGCTGCTCATGGACCTTGCCATTCTTCAGCACAAAGGAGGAGAGAGGGCCGGGGTCTCGGTGCACCCTTGTGCAGGGCCCCTCCTGTCGTTTCTCTGCTCTTTGTGCCCATTGATGAGGCTGTAGAAGTGTTGGCTGTAGCTTTTGTCTGAGTTTTGTTTTGGTGGAAGTGTGCAGTGGATGGGGGTACACAAGCACATTTAGACATGTGATCTGGTTCTAGATAGATAACTAAAGTGTTGATGTACCTCAGTCTCAAGTCAGGTCTCCAGTCCACATAATTATGATTCCACTTTCATTTCAATCACCTATGCACAACCATCTGCAGAGATTTTCTTAATCTTGTGTGATATCTGGTTGAAAGCTAGCGAGTGTACCTTGAAGAAGTATTTCCACTAATGAAAATTAATGCTCAAGATTCATATTCTGCCATATTGGCGATCTCAAACACAACACACACATACACACGGTGTTGCTGTAGTGTCTGAACAAGGCCCTTGAGGGCTTCAGCAAGTAGACCAGTGTTTAGGCAACAACTGGCATTGTGTTTGTGTGTGTGTGTCAGTCAGCCTGTCAATCAGCCTGGAATCTCTGATTCCACTTTGTTTTTACAAGCTGCAGCGGTGGATGTAAACAGATAAAGAACAAACTTATGTTACTTTATGTTGAAGTCTTTAGAATTGGACATACAGTTTCTCACTTTAAAACCAAATTGTTCATGTTTGGATTATTACATGACTGATGTATTTGAGTGAAAACTATACAACGTGTTTTATTAAGAGAGGAGCAGCCTGAGGGGCTCCAGGGATGTTAATGTGATCAGTGATTAGATTCATCATGAGCTGAAACAGGCCTGACTGATGGATATCAGAAACAGAAATTAGCATTAACAGCTGATGACTGAGGGAATGGGCGTGTGTGTGTGTGTGTGTGTGAGTGTGTGCGTGTGAGTGTGCGTGTGTGTGTGTGTGTGTGTGTGTGTGGGTGTGTGTGTGTGTGTGTGTGTGTGTGTGTTGTCTGACCCTGGGCCTGCTGTGACCTGCAGCACAACAGTAGCAGGCATATGGTAGTGATGAAGGACGGCATTAGCATAGTCAAAAAGTATATTAGCATAGCTATCAGACAGAGCAACTCGGCAGACTTTGAACTCTGATACTCTTCAGCTAATCTTTACTGACACCCTTCAAACATTTTTCCAAAAATGTATATTATAGTTGAGATCCCAAGAATATAAGATGGAGTTTGAATATTTCACATGATACAGCTCTAATGAATGCAAAATGATGCAAAATACATTTGATGCTTTATTCTACAACTTTATTTTTCAAAAGTAAACACACCTACAGCAAGGTTTTGGTTAGGGTCAATGGATGAACAAATGCTTTATGGTTTTAGATACATAATGCGTTTGTGTCTTGTTTTGACTTACTGACTGTAACATGATTTTGAGAATAATAACTTCCTGTCTATGTCGTCTTCATTTTTAAATGTGATCTTAAGTTTGATCAAGTCTGCCACTAAAAATAAATAAACTGACAAAGAAATATAGATATATATTTGAGATGTGCTGTGGAGGGGATGCTCATGCAAGAACCTGTTACCAAAACACCAACAAACTAAGAGTACCAAAACACACACACACACACACACACACACTTAGCCTGCAGCCCGTCAGTACCATCTGCTGCAGCTCTATAGCACACAGAAAGGATTTTGGCTTTTATGTTGAAAGGACACTTGAGAAGCAGCATGTGGCTGCAGCAGCAGAGCTCTTTATGACCCGGGTTGAGGCGGAGGACAGCCGAGGTTGTTCAGGGTGAGAGTTCAGAGACACTGACTGAAAAGAAAAAATTCATTTGTTGTACATTTGTTTGTGTGAAGATAAAACATGTTAATAGTAAGCTTTGGAGGAGTTAGTTTGCTTAGTTTTGAAATGTGGACAGTCAGGCTTGCGGTTTCCCCTTGCATCCATGTCTTTATGCTAAACTGGGCTATCCAAGGCCTGACTCCAGCTCTGTGTTCCACACAGACACGTAATTGGCATCAATCTTCTCATCTCACACTCAGACAGACAGCAACTAAGTATATTTCCCCAGATGTTGAACTATGCATTTAAAGCAATTTTTTTCTTACATATTTGATTAAGTTTACCTCTAAAGAAATCTCATTAGCACTGTGATGTTCCTGTAAGTGGATGCAGCTCCACCCTGCAGGTTGTTTCTGCTGACTGTTGGGGGATGTTGTTGTTAGTCAGGATTTGGTCCTGAATGGATGAATGGCAGCAGGCTTGTGCCAGGCACACGGCCTCCTCCTCCTCCTCTTTCCCTTTCTCCTCATCATTAAATTGGACAGCAGATGGAGTGAGTGCCGGGTTGGTTGCCGTGGAGATTTAAAGGGGTGATTGCATTTCAGCTTGTCCAGCTTGGTCCACTGTTTGTATTCTTGTGAAACATTACATTCTATCAAGTTGTAATAAGCAGTTTGATACAAACACATTTTAAAAATGCCTGTGTGTGTGTGCGTGTGTGTGTGTGTGTGTGTGTGTGTGTGTGTGTGTGTGTGTGTGTGTGTGTGTGTCACAGTGGGGCGTGGGGGCTGCAGCAGCTGTTGACTCCACAATAGTTTGCAGTGACAGGCAACATGCAGGTCAGAGTGACTTTAGAGTTTGATTCCAAAGACACAAAAGCCTCTTAAAGGTTCAGAATCACAAATGAGACAAAGAAAAGAGAAACCAAAGTGTGCCAGGAGCAAAAGATCAACTTCATGAAACTGCAGCTTTAGTTCGGTTGATTTTTCTTGACTTGACACGATGACAGCTTCTGTTAATGATGAGAATTAAAGTTAGAACGAGATTTATTTCTGGAAACACACTGAGTCACGGATCAAAATGGAACAGCTCAGAGTCACTGTGATAGACCTTGAGTCTAACAATCCCACTACAAGAAATATGGCACCCTGCTGCATCAGCTTGAAGCTTGAGTTTTACCACTCCGGAAAGTTCTTATGGAAGAAATATTTTGCTCATCTGTCTTGACAGTGAACAGCAGAATTAGCATAATCCAAGTCTGTGTGCATGCATATATTTGATTGGTCAAATAATCAACCTGTAGTAAATGCACTTTTGTGCCTGACTCCCTCAGTCGGTACCTCTGCTGTGCCAACAAAGTGACTGAAACGAATGAGCAGCCTGCGTTAACTGGTTACGTGGCTTGCTGCCTCTTGAATCTTGTGATCATAAGATAAAAGGAATACTTTTAGGAAATACACTTTCTTGCCAAGAGTCAGACCACTCTCATGTTTGTTCTATGAACATGCAGAAAGCTAGCAGGCAGTTTGCCAAACAGCTCAAATTTTAATTTTTAATGTTGTTGTATAGATTTAACAAACAATATAAAATGTACAAGTTAGGTTTAGTTAGGAAGTGGAAGCTGTCACCATCCAAACACATGGCTTACATTGTAATCAGCACATTCACTGGTAGGAATTTATGGTGTTTTCCTGCTGAAGTTAAATTAACTTTTTATTTGAATTTGACCTCTGTTTATGTCACACGATGCACAGTTTCATCTCTTGCCTGCACATAACAGCAAGAATTGTATATATATTCTATACTACCAATAAAAACTAATCATGGGGTTCCCAGTTTTGTGCAGGACATTTTACTGATTTTTGTCGAAGCATCTCACGTTAAGAAGGATCAAATACTTCAGATAATTCCGAATCGCCTCTCCAGAGCTGAGAGGGATGTGTGAAAGGGCACAAATGTAGATATAAAAAGACATGTTTGCTGTTGTTTTGAGTCGCAGACTGATTTCAGCTGAGTTAGCCAAGACTCAGATTTTCATGTAAAGGGGAATTTTTAATAAATTCCACGAAAGGGTTCAGACAGTCAACAAGGCAAACCAGGAGCAGCTTTTCCAAACAAAAGGTCTACATGGGGCTCCAAATTAATTTGTGCTTCAGACAACTTTTACCTGAGATGGAAAAGTCAAAGTACAGTCAGAGTTCAATAATGAATTCAAATATTTTATTTATATTGCTTTCAAAAATCAGATATGCAGTGAACATGTTATTTCATCTGACATAAAGCTGAAGTGAAACCTTCAGGAAGTATTACATTTTCATATTTTTCACATTTCATACTTGTATTTGTTTTCATTTTAACACTTTTTTGTATTTTTTTCTCAACTGGTTAAATATCTAAAGTGAAACCTTTATTTTTTAAAGAATATTTTTGTCATTGTACAAATACTAAAGTGAAACCTTTATAGAATTAAGACAATTCTGGAAAGTGGGAAACATTTTCGCTGATTGCAACTGTTGTCGTGTTGCTCAGCAAAGAGGACATCTTTAAAAAGTCCCTTTTTAAGAATGCCTCTTTCTCAGCACCGCTTCTTCGCCTGCCGCGCGTGCTTCAAGATGCGATATCTGCTCTGTGGAACCACAGGACGCAGAACTCGCTTCTCCTTCCTCTCCAAACCTCATCCGCACAAAGAATGAGGGTCGATGTGTCGCTCTTGTGGCATACCTGACCTCATTCACATAAAGAATGAGAGTCATCTTGGCATGGACGGGACAAGAGGCGACGATCCACGGGGGCCCCTCGGGCCGGCGCCGTGCTGCCTGGACGGGAATCCTCCTCAGGAGTATCCAGGGATGAGCAGAAACAGGGTCATCCTGTTCATCAGGATGAGTATTTCCAGATAAGAAGCTTTACAGCATCTGAGCAAGAGGGGAGCCGAGTCCCAGATCAAGGCTCGGGGAGGTTGATCTCAGGAACCCAGTCGTTCAGACGCCGGCTCTCCTCACAGAACAGGTGCAGCTTCTCTAGAGCAGGGTCCTCCCAAGACCCATCAGCTGGGTTCTGTTCAAGGAGAAAGAGGAGAGAGGCTTTAGTCACATGATTCTTTTCAAAAGCATCCCACTGCTGAGATGATTTAGAATAACGTAAACACATTAGCTGAGCGCCACATACCGTGATGAGGACGCAGTGGGCATCTTCAAGCTGCTCCGCCTTGTCGCCAACAATCTCAGCCAGACGCTGCATGTCGCTCACTCTGACGATGCTGATGTCGTTGTCGAAGCAGAAGGACTGGATGAGGGTGAAGTGGATCTGCAGAGCGATGTCACACTCAAACTCCTCATCCATGGCCAGGACACAGAAAGACACACTGTCCGGGTCACTGTGGAGACAAAGAAAAGTCACCTCTTGTTAACTGTTGCTGTTTGATGTTGATTATGTTGACTGTTCTGCGAGAATGCCAAAGTCATATTTAAGTCATGTTTAGTTTACTTACTCAGTCATAATTTTAGCGCTCTCGTAGACTCCAACAGTGAGTCGATCCTCGCTCTGAGCACAGAGCAGAGCTTCTTTCAGAGGTTTTCCAGGAGACTGCATGGTGATGGTTTAGCTTACAGTTTGGCTGATGTGATCAGGAAGTCCAGGCAGGAGTGTTCCTCTCCAAGAATCTGCCAGCATTTATACTGCAGACCCGGCACACGCTCACTCTCTGATTGGCTGTTTGGGGTACAATGGCTACAACTGGTCTGCAGCCCCTGCCCCATCCTCAGGGACGCGTGCCTTTAGAAAAGTCTTAGAAAGTCGGGGTTAGCTTCAGTTGAAAGGATCAGATGTAAAAACTCTCTGACCTTTAATTGATTCTTTCAGCTTACAGGAATAATACAACCACACAGGAAGACCAGACCGCTGTCGTCAAAGTCTTCAAAGTTTTGGAAGAATCAGATGCGAGCAATAACTCCCATTCAAAGGAGGACCATACAAAGGGATTTCCATGTTCACATCTACAGTACTTTACATCACAGCTGAACATTTTGCAAACCATGCCATTGTGTTTTAGATTTTTTTAAATTAATTTTTGGACTTTCTAGGCTTTCCATTAATTTCTTCTTTAAACTTGCTTGAGTTGTGTAATCCATCACTGTGAACATCGAGCTTGCATTTATTTTTTGTCCAGTTACATTAATAGTTACGAGGTAATTCAGTTCAGACTCTTCAGATTTTTTATAGTCCTTCCATGTTTTTTCATATTTCCAGATTCAAGTTCTGATTTAAAAATGTATTTTCCCTGCCAGTGCAGCCATTGGCTTCTATTCATTTCCCCACATAATTAGGACATCTTAAAAAAAAGAAAAAGAGAACATCAGGTATGCATTCATTTTGTCAAAGTTACATTATTATGTAATACAGTTGAAGGAAACTTTACTTAAAATGTAAAGATTTTTAATTTGATGTAATGTATCTTCCTTGTCAGCCATTGGCTTCCATTCATTTTTATATGACATGAAAATCAACTGGCAGACTAGTTTGAGCTGTGCAATCCATCAAAGAAAACATCAAATCTGATTTAGTAATTGTAATAAGAAAATGCAATGCAGACTTTTCAAATCAATGTGCACGTACAAATTAAAAAGCATAGTTTTAACTTAAACTCTATTAACATGCAATTATTAACATTGAGCAGAAAACGAGGACAGACTTGAGGTTCAATGTAAACACACATTTGAAGCAAGATTCAAGACTCTGCTGTGTGATTTTCATGTCGTACAGATATGATTGGAAGCCCCCCTATTGTCAAATTCTTTGGAATTTGGGGCCTCATTACATAAGAGCATTACAATAAAAGCATGTGTATGTTTTAAAAGTGTGTTGGTGCACCATACTGATAAAACCCATGTATGCTGATGTTTTTTATCATACTGCTGAGATATGGAACATTTTCAATGCACTGGATGTCAGACAGACTTTTATAACTCGTGACCAATTTCACTGCATGAACTGTTCTTGTGGATTAGATAGTGGCACGCGCCGCTGCTTTGCATACGTAAAGTAAAGGCTCACTTGAGGCGCGTGGCATCTGGAGATGCCTGCATGCTTTATCTCTCTGTCTGTATCACTCCTCATAGCAACCGAGAGATACCATCTGTCCCCGGGGGGGGGGACGTGAAGGGACGGGTGGACAAAAGAAGTCAGGCAGCACCTGCTGGGCGTGATGACAGTTTATCATTTCGCTGCAAAAATGATTTTTAAGTCTTCAGGTTAAACGAACTCTGAACGCAGAGGTTTAGCTAAATCACACTTAGGTTTGTTGAGCTCAAAAACACTTTTTAAACAAAAAAATATAAATTATATTTGTACGTTTTCCTACTAAAATATTCGTCTTATGTTCCCAAACCCCAAGTCATATTTGCACGCACCAGAAGCAAAGTAAACATCTTATCCCGCAGCTTGAAACACTTTTATCCTTACAAAGAGGTTTGGGGTTTACTTAGTCGCCGCAGGTCACCAAAAAAGAGCTTTGACCACCAACACCTGTCGCGCGCTGCCGGGGAGGCCTCCGTCTGGCAGATGTGCTTCAGCAACAATAGGTCGGTATCGATTTGCACGCGCCTGCCCTGTGGCCGTGCAACTGATCCTTCCTAAAATAGCTCAGTGTTGGAGTCTCTATCAGCTGGATCCAAATCAAACTTTGGTCCAAATAAGCTTCTCTGCCAGTGGATGCGCCAATACCCGGACAGGAAGTGAAAGACATGTACAAATAAACGAATCATTTTGTTGCTGCAGTAACGTACAGATAAGAGTTATGTTGTGAAACAAAACGCGCTTTCAGCATTCTTGCATGTGTTTGCAGCACAGGCTGAAAGTGATTTTTATCTGTCTTTACACGTCTGGCATATTTTGGAGATAACGCTTTTCATTGTGAAAGTTTTAGACCAACACGCTCATCTCTATGGCATTCAAATTTAATCAAAACTCAGACAACAGCCGGGAGAATGTAGAGACTTGTAGACAAAAGATCGGCACGCCCTGGGCCCGTGGTTGACCTGCGTTTGGAAGAGAGGAGAGGAGGGGTGACCCTCATAGCGACAGTTCTCCATCTGCCGCTTTGCCTTCCGCAGAACAATAGCGCTGAATCAATCGCCGCCAACCTGTGTCTCCTGCACCGCCTCTCGACTACAGCCCCCTTTCTCTATTTACGCAGCAGCGACAGCAGGCCTGACCTGATGCAAGATGTATTTTGGAATTATTATGCAGATAAAACAGAACCAACTAAGCACGAGCTGTTAGGTAGAAGCTGGTCTCTCAGTGGAGCAGATGAAGTAGAGCAATGCGTAAAAGTCTCATAGTGCGTAAAAGTGGGTAAAGTGGTGGGAAATTAATAGAAAGTTGTCATAAACAAGTTTATTTGAAACCACAGATAAAGACATTTAGTGTCCCTACACTTCAACTACTACACTTGACCAAATAAGCAGGACCTGCCGGGGAGAAGCAGCTTAGTCAGTGGAACAGATGAAATAGAGATGTGCGTTCAGTTTTCTTCCTGCTGTAAAAGTGATCCGAAATAAACTTGATAGTTGTCACAGATAAATACATTTGGTGCATCTATGTACACAAAACAAAAAACACAAAGGTGCAATAAACTTAACAAGTGTTCCAATAGAATTCCGTCCGTGTGGCCCCAGAACTCCCCAGAGTAAATAAATAAAACCGAGCAAGGATTTTCTGGACAGCTGATGACCACGTGGTAGGCATTGGCCAGCAGCGCAGATTGCGCAGCACGTACAGCATTCTGGCACGCGCTGGTCATTTGCATTTGTATGGGGGGCCATAATAGAAGGCTTCTTTGCTCACAATGAGGCCGTTTTATGGCCAGCCTCTAGTCCACAGATGGCATCATCCACCTGCCCTTTCTCTCTGCTATTGGAAGGGGGGGGCTTCATACTCTCTCCATGTTTCTGCAGAAACACTGTCACCAAAATTCTTGAAATGCAAAAAAAGTACTAAGAGTTTATCCAGTTTTCTTTTAGTGGAGCTCGTGTACGTTTTTTTAAAGTTTGAAAGGTGACCTAAACTGGTCGCTAAACAGTTTCCTAAAGGGACAGCATGAAGCTTCTGTGCATGTTTAAGAGTCTTTATAAATGCATGCATGTAAAGTGAAGTTGATGTGCAGCATGCAATATCTGCTGCATGCTGGGGCTACAGTGTTCTCTCTAATTTGCACAGAAGTGCTGCAGAGTGATTATACTTCTTGTTTTAATGAAGCTATTTTTAGTTTCAGTCCAGACTGCTGCGCTCAGAGGGGGAGCGTGCGTGGCTCGATGACCCCCATCAATCTGCCACGAGCCGGAGAGTGACAATAGCATTATCATACCAATACACCATTCACCTTTAGCCAATCAGAGCGCAGCGCTTTCACTGCGCCGCACGAGCTGGATAGTATAAAAAGGGGAGGCTGCAGGTTTGAGGTCACTCTGCTTCTTTTCGGATTTCGACTAAACTCTCCAAAGCTCTTCCTTTGCGGAATATTTCCATCATCTTCAACATGACTCTTGAGGAGGTTCTGATCCAGAAACCCGAGCGTGCTCAGTGCACCGGCAAAGCCCTGGAGGAGGTCTTGGTGTCCGCTAAAGACAACGACTCCCTCACCGTCGGTGTCTACGAGTGCGCCAAAATCATGAATCTGTAAGTATGAGACTCTCAGCTGAAGAGTAAATGCTTACTACATTTTCATCAGTCATATGATCTAGTTCGGATACTTTTTGGATGAAATCTTATGAGCTTTTTTCCTTTTCTTTGTCTCCACAGTGACCCGGACAGTGTGTCTTTCTGCGTCCTGGCCATGGATGAGGAGTTTGAGTGTGACATCGCTCTGCAGATCCACTTCACCCTCATCCAGTCCTTCTGCTTCGACAACGACATCAGCATCGTCAGAGTGAGCGACATGCAGCGTCTGGCTGAGATTGTTGGCGACAAGGCGGAGCAGCTTGAAGATGCCCACTGCGTCCTCATCACGGTATGTGGCGCTCAGCTAATGTGTTTACGTTATTCTAAATCATCTCAGCAGTGTGATGCTTTTGAAAAGAATCATGTGACTAAAGCCTCTCTCCTCTTTCTCCTTGAACAGAACCCAGCTGATGGGTCTTGGGAGGACCCTGCTCTAGAGAAGCTGCACCTGTTCTGTGAGGAGAGCCGGCGTCTGAACGACTGGGTTCCTGAGATCAACCTCCCCGAGCCTTGATCTGGGACTCGGCTCCCCTCTTGCTCAGATGCTGTAAAGCTTCTTATCTGGAAATACTCATCCTGATGAACAGGATGACCCTGTTTCTGCTCATCCCTGGATACTCCTGAGGAGGATTCCCGTCCAGGCAGCACGGCGCCGGCCCGAGGGGCCCCCGTGGATCGTCGCCTCTTGTCCCGTCCATGCCAAGATGACTCTCATTCTTTATGTGAATGAGGTCAGGTATGCCACAAGAGCGACACATCGACCCTCATTCTTTGTGCGGATGAGGTTTGGAGAGGAAGGAGAAGCGAGTTCTGCGTCCTGTGGTTCCACAGAGCAGATATCGCATCTTGAAGCACGCGCGGCAGGCGAAGAAGCGGTGCTGAGAAAGAGGCATTCTTAAAAAGGGACTTTTTAAAGATGTCCTCTTTGCTGAGCAACACGACAACAGTTGCAATCAGCGAAAATGTTTCCCACTTTCCAGAATTGTCTTAATTCTCTAAAGGTTTCACTTTAGAAATTTAACAATGACAAACATATTCTTAAACATTTAAACAAGTACTTTCTCTAAAGGTTTCACTTTAGAAAATGGCAAAATTAAGTTTGTTTAAAAAGATGAGAATTTCTAAGATTATTTTATAAACATTTGATTATGTAAGACAGAAATGAGAAAAAAAGAAAATGTTTGACTTATGATGTGATCCTGTTGGAACAATGTTGGAAAGAAACTAATTTATATCTTTCTAACAGTTTCACATTGGAAATTGTTGGAAGTTGTAAGTGGAAAATGCCTAATAAAACCCTTAAATGTCATTTTTGCCGTGATGTGTTTTCACTTTATGCTTGAGTTGTGTGTTTTGTGGGTGCTTGGGAGGAGGGGGAAGAGAGGGAGAGGAGGGGGTGGCTATGAAACTAACAAAAGTTTTAAACTGAGCAGATTTGCATGGAAGGCGCTAAGGCCTGTCATCTACTCGCTGTTGTCCCAGCAGTAAAAAAAACAAAAACACCCTCTGCGGTCCCTCCTCCAGCAGACCTCATCTGCATATCTATGGCGCAGCGCACAATAGCGGAGCTCCGGGCCTGTCAGCTCCAGCGGTCCGCACACAGCGCCTATTGTCTGGCCTGCAGATGTCTCTGCAGCCACGCCGCGCCATCTGCCGTTTCCTGCAAGTGGGGGTCGGGGAGGGCAGGGCTGGGAGGAGCCGGGGCTCCAGTGCCAGAGGGGGCAGCCGAGTTGGGTCTGACCGGTTTGTGCCGGCTGAGAGGGGCCCGAGTATCATCTGGTGTCCTGCCAGCTGCTGTCGGGACTTTTATTTACCAGCACGCACTTAGTGAAACTTTGGTAAACAGAACACAACGGCGCGAGATCAGCTCTGTTTGGGTGCAGCAGCAGCAGCAGCCACCTGCTCTGCGCCGCAACAATGAAATCTGCGTGACGCAGCGGTTTTTTTCTCTCCAGCAGTTTAAGTTTTTCATAAACACTACGAGTCTTTTCAAGAGACAGAATAGGTTTAATTGGGCGAACGCTTTTCCCTTTACAATGGTGTGCGTCATTCTGTGCACAGAAAAGGACTGAAAGGTAAAATCAGGTGCACAGACATATTTTGCATCATAGTTTTATTGGATCCGTTGATGGACAGAAAATGAAATATTAACCAATGCAGATTTTTTTCGTTTTACATCCTAACTAATTACTAATTGTGTTTGTGCTCTGGGAAATTGCAAGAGTGTTTGGGATTATTTTATAGATCTGAGGGTCCCAAGAGAAAAGTTACAGAAAATTACTGTTTAAAATTTTTCTCTGACTTCTGCTTTTCTTCTTTGTAAAAACTGGATGCTTTCACCTCTTTGCTCCTCTAAAAATCCTTTAAATCAAAACATTTGAGAAGGAAAGATCACTCTTTAGTTGAATGTATATAGATGCTTTCACAACTTTTCTGCATTTTCATCAGGCACTTTCACATATACCTAAGGCTATCCCATAAAGATGCCTTGGAAAGAGTAAAATAAAAATGTATCAGAAGCTACAAACTGTGAAAAAGCTATTGTCAGTAAAACACTACAAGCCACTTTCCCATAAACAATGTCAAATTACATTTTAAAAAAGTAAAATAAAAATAGAAGTCTGTATAAAAAAGTGTCTCCAGCAGTCTGTTATGAAAGCACACAGAATTTGGAGGTATGTCTGAGGCCCCTGTAGGCCCGGAGCCCTTCCCTTTTGGGGTCCCTCACCATCCCTCGGACCACTGGGGGAGTGTCGTAGCCCCTCCTTTTCTGGGCTCGGTGCAGCAGGATTCGATGAACCCCGGTGACAGGGCTGCGGCTGTCTCTGGGCTGATTGTTCCGGAGGTGCTCCATGGTAAAGCCGAGCTCCTCCAGCGTGCTCCTGACCTCCTCCTGCTGCTCCTCCATGTCCCCGCTCTCTGAGTCCAGCAGTGTCTGCATAGGGCTCGCTGAATCGTGAGGCATACACAACCAGGGAAACTCCACAGGTAAGAGCCAATCGCAGCCCAGCATCTGGTCAATGGCGTAACGGTCAGCAGGGACCACCTTCAAGATGCCCTTGATGAGCCTCTGGCAGGGGCCGGGCACCCAGGGAGGGATGGTGTAGGCGCCTTCGATGATGCAGCGCCGCAGCTTCCCCAAGGTCTCAGCTCGGAACGGCATGGTGCCGGTCACCATGAAGAAAAGCAGGACCCCCATGGCCCACACGTCCACTGGGGGCCCCAGGTAGCACTCGTCCCTGAAGAGCTCGGGGGCGGCGTAGGGCGGAGAGCCACAGAAGGTGTCGAGGATGTCGCTGCGGTTTGGAACCCGCGTGCTGAATCCAAAGTCAGCCACCTTCACACAGCCGTTGCTGGTGAACAGAACGTTCTCCGCCTTCAGGTCCCGGTGAAAGATGTTGTTGTTGTGCTGCACGACAAAACATAGCCAGCGGGATAAATTTTCTGTTGGACATTTTCTTTTAACCTGGGTAGCAATTTCACTGCCTTGGCCATCATTTCTATTGACAATGATAACCTTTTACTTTTCAGCCTAATTCCTTAGGTCCTGGGTTTTTCATTAATTACTAAATGCACGCTTGACAAATCTCAGTACTGATCGCACAGAGTACTGATCGCACAGAGATTAAATTGATAGACAAGCGTATTCCTGAATGTTGGAGTAACACTTAAAGGGACTGAGACAAAAGAAACAACCTGATCCGAAACATTGCCACATCATCATTTCCTTATGAGCATTTCCCGTACCAGTCCAGTGACAGGCAACCGCATCTTAATTGTGTATGACAATAAACACTTGGTTAATGTGAAAAGCTCACAGTCACAGTCACAGTCAGTTTGGTTAGGTTTAGTCATCAAAACTACTTGTTTAGGTTTAGAAATATATCGTAGTTTGGGTTAAAGTACGTGACGTAAATCACTTGACATAAGTCAGTAACGCTATTTAACTTAAACGGGTCGTAATAACGTGCTTAAACCAACAACCTTCTTGCACAGTTCCCTCACACTGTGTGTGAGGTTCCGCTGTCGCCACATGTAATCACCTGTGTTATCAATATGTCTGACTGCACAGTGTCTAGTATCTATTATTTTTATAAGATTTAATATATTTTATGATATTTCTACTTGTAATAGTGGGGAAGGCAGCGTGACAGTGAACTAGGATGCACCAGGACCAACATGATTTATATGGATAAATAAATACAACTGAATAATAAATACAACTGAATAAGCTAACCATATATTTGATGGCAGAAATGATCTGGGCGAAGGTGGTCTTGCTGGTGTTGTCAGACAGTTTTCCCTCATTGCAGATCCTGTTGTGGAGGTCTCCTCCTCCTGCGTACTCCAGCACCAGGTAAAGCCGGCTCGGCAACTCCACTACCTCGTACAGACGGACCACGTTGGGGTGCTGGAGGCACTCCATGCTGCTGATCTCCCTGGAGAGCAGACGCTGGGCCTGAAGGTCCAACCTCGCCTTGTCGACAATCTTCAGAGCCACTTTGTCTGCATGAGGACAGATGAAGGGACATGGACACATTAAACAACAGTCTGGCTGTCAACAAGTGCACATGGTAAAATACAAACTCTGGACTTGTGTACAACATCGAAGATGAAAGGGGAACAGAAACAACATATAAAGACTAACAACTTAACAATGAAATTATTAATCAGTGGAAAGAAAATAAATCAGTGACAGCTGAACAATAGTTTATTTAGATAAATTCACAAACATTATCTGCTTCAAGTTTCTGAAATTGGAGGATTTTACTCTTACTGATTGTAAACTGAATACTATTGGACAGACAAAAACAGTAGTTGAAGACCTCACTTTTAGCCTGTCTGTCGTTACCTTAGTTCTGAAACAATTAGTCAATTAATTAAAATTGATTATTAATCATCAACAATTGTCATAATTGGTTTATCACTGAAATCAGCTTTCTCTGGCTCCAGATTGTAAGAATGCCCTCTGTTTCATATTGTAAATGAAGTGTTTTTGGATTTTGGTCGGTCTGACAAAACAAGCCATTGGAAAACATTTGGGATCTTTCAATGGGCTGTTTCACTATTTTCTGACCTTCTAGAGATGATCGTCAGATCAGCTGATAATGAAAGTACTGCTTAGTTGCAGCCTACCTTACTTTTAACCTTTTACTAATTGAAAACAGTAACTGCAGCCTTAGCAAGGACCAGAGTTCTGCTACCCGACCCGGTTGTGCTGCCAATCATCTGCACCGTGCTTGTCAAGAAGAAGTATAATGCCCAGTGAGAAAGAGAGCATGTAGCCAATGTGTTATAATACATAATGATGAATGAAATATAGCCAGCTTTATAGATTTGGGTAGTGTTCGGCTCTGTCTCTCTACACACAGGTATGGACTGGGCTGGGTTTGGGTCTCTGTTTCAGAGTCCTCTGTTGTTTAACTTTCTATGACCACCCTCTGCTGCTCATCCCTTTCCTTAAGCTAATCACAAGGTGTTCTGCGTATCTCTAAACAGGGAAGGCACATTTAATTGGGAAAGGATTACAGGCAAAGTTAGCAGGAGAAAATGGGACTCTATCGCAGATGTCAGATCGCGTGTACACCTACCTTTAGTCAGAGCATGGAACGCCAGTTTGACTCTGGAGAAGGTCCCACAGCCGATCTCCCCGCGGACCTTGTAGAAGCCCACCCTGCGGCCTATGATCAGCTCCTTGATGGTCTTGTCGTCCTTGCACATGTCGGTGGTGAGCTTCTGCAGGGGGGTGAGCTGCAGCGGGACGGCGGCCTCCTCGTCCTCGGGGCCGACATCGGAGCTGTCCGTCAGGCTGTAGAGGCTGTGGTGGCGCTTGGTGCTCGTCACCTGGTACTCCCTTCCAGGCATTTCTGCAGCAGGCTGAAGGTCATCTTCAAGAACATGATAACGTCATTAAGTTCATGGCTACTTTATTTTCCTGAAATTCCTAATCGAATGTAAAAAACACCGTAAAACTATACTGAACACAGCTTGATAGCAAATACTCAGGTAGGGAAACCAAATTTCCACTTAAATTCCCCCTTAACATCAAACATACATATTCTACACTTGCTGACTGCACTGACATATTAAATACAACAATTACAAAATTTTGTACACATATTCCTGTACTTTTACAAGAAAGATCTAGCCCTCAAATGGCTGCAGGTTTACAAATACGTCAAGAATATAGAATGAATGTAGAAAACATGAGTCTAGTTTTCTTACCAAGTTTGCAAATTGCTGCTCTGCATCAAAACACAGCCGTGGAAGTCATTGCAAGCAGCAATACAAAAAGTCTTTCAGCCCGGTAGGACCCCGAAAAGTGAACTTTCTTCTCAATTACATGACTGACAAAGAAAATCCTATCCTTGCGAGCAGAACGCCGCCGTCGCATCATTCTCTGTCCTTACTATCGGACCACTGGGCACTGACGGCCGAGAACGCAGGAAGGGAGGATCGTGTGTGTTTCACCCGTCAGTCAGGTGGACAGTCATCTCTGGCTTCCCTGGCCACACCCCTCACAGCCCACCTCTCCCTGTCTTCACCTGCTCTCCCAACTCAATGAGGGACGGAGGATTAAAGCGGTGTTGTGAACTCTAATCCTGTTTTAATTTAGGTTCGTCCCAATCCCTTCAAATGACTAACATCAGTTCAGGGTGGCAAAGACGAGGCCAAAAGGTTGCAACAGACGACAAAATATGCACATGTATTTGTATCTACAGTAAATATGACCAGGATGCTTTGGTTTGCAGGTTTAGCACAACACACCTGGGTGAGAGGAACGGCTGTGTTACGCAGCTAAGGTCAATCTCCTGGCTTTTGTGAAGATGAAATGTTATGCAACAGTGTTACCCAATGTTCCCATAGAGATTAGCTCCCTGTCTCCTTTAGACGCTGGCTGAGCAGCGCGGATAAAGAGATTACACATGCACGCATGAAGTCAGCGGGAGGAGTGCCTTCATTCAGGTGTGCTGTCACTGTGAGTAGCAGTGGAGGGGCAGCGTGGACACACGACAGTCAAAAGACATCAGAAGACTTTTCCTGTTCCTGTATCTATTCTGTTCCTATCTATACATGTCACTTAGTATTTCACCTAATTGTATGTTCAGAGGTGGCTTTGAACAGTATATGAATGCTTTTTTCCTTTCTTTTTAAAAATATTTATTAATGTACAATATATTGAGGAGGTGTGTTAATATAATGCAATTTAATGTAATGTGTTATGTAAAGTATGTCAGGCGGGGGCCCCAGGTGGATTAGCTGACTCCCATGGCATCTGCTAATGGGGATACTTAAATAAACAAAGCAGGACAGTTATAAGTAATAATTGTATTATAAATAATTATGTAATGCACGTGTAGTTTTATAACTTTAGCCTCGTCACAGAAATTGTGGTATCGGCAAACATGTCGGCCTATAAGGAAGAAGACATTGCAGTACAGAAATGCCAAAGATGTTTGAGGTCATTTAGAAACAGGGTCTCAGCTACATAGTGTGCTGACCAGAGAATGCGCTGCACATATTTTGGATGGAATTCTTTTACAGCAGCATTATTTTCCTTAGTCATCACTGATTGATCTATTTCCCGAGGTGATGTCTTCATATTGCATGTTCTTTAACAGTCAACAACCCAAAGATGTCCAGCTTACTATACTATATGACAAAGAAAAGATGTAAGTCCTCACATTTAGGAAGCTGTCTGGCATTTTTGCTTAAGAAACGACTGAAAACATAAAGAGTAAAGAGAAAATAGTCTGCCTATTTACTAATTAATCATCAATTAATAGTTTCTGCTGTCAATTACCCATTTTAAGGGATCCTTAAACTGTTGGTTTTTGATATTTAGTTAAAAACATAATGTTATTAAACAAATATAAGCAAATGTATTGCTCGGGCCAGTTTTCTTTTACTCTCAAATATGTAAACAGATCTGCCAAATCCAGTATCAATAGGGCTCTACTAGTGTCTGTAAATGGTGCATTATCAATCACGGAAGGGAATCTTGGTACTGAGCTCAGATAATGCAGGAGGACTGCTCAGGAGTTCATGTCCAGAATGACTGCAATGTTCCCACTGAACGCTTCACTCTCGTGTTCAAAATCAAACTTGGTTAAGAGAAAGAAACTGATCATTATTCAGGTGACGCAAAACTTTAAAGCTCATGAGAATAGCAGATAATTTCACACTTTCCTAAATATCAACAACATATCATTGAACACAAATTACAACAAGTAGTGTTCAAGGGAGAGACTGACTTCAAGGAATCTGAAAAACTAGGAGAAATGTCTTTTTTCTTTGAATGAAAGGAGAGAAACAGGTTTAATTCCCTGAATGAAAGTGGCCTTCCAGCTATCTAATGTACTTAGAACAGCTCTTCTCCTGCATCCGCCCCTCCCTGCCTCCCTCCCATGCAAGCGCCTGATTGGATTAAAGCCTTAGACAGGAACCTACACGTGTTTAAGTGTGCTCTCTGCACACTGGTCGCCTGCAAGCAGGACAGTGAGACTGTAAATCTAGTCAAGTGTGACAGTGCACAATGTGCAGTGTAGTTCAGAAATAGTATCTGGAATCTGGAAATATCAAAACACTTTAGTAACTTCTGTCCCCTGAGAAATGCATATGCAACTGCAGAGCTGACAGGTCAACAGCTTGTTAGTGTCTACATCTTTCTCCTCTTCAGACGGCTGTCGTTCAGGCCGCCGGCACGCTGGTTCTCTTCCAGCTCTTTGATTCTCTGACGCAGAACTTCAATCTCTTTGTTCTTCTCCTCCTGGAAGAACTGCAACTTCTGAGTAAACACACGCACAGTTAATCCACAAGAAAAGGGCAATATAAACACAACATGCCCCACATTCTCTGAACAGCACAGCTGGAAGATAATAAAAAATCCCACCTACTAATTTAAAACCTTTTATTCAGTGATTATTTTGAATGGCTGCTCCAGGTAAATGATGGACTGTTGACTTTAGCGTACTTTCTATTTAGTGCCTACTGATCAAATTTGTTCTAGGGCTGGAACTAATGATTATTTTCATTATCGTTTATGGGTTGTGAAATGATTATCTTCTTGATTGATTTAGGGTCTAAAATGCAACTCATGATTTTCCTGAGCCCCAGGTAAAGGCTTCAAATAGCTTATTCAATTCATAATCATAGAAAACAGAAAAGCAGCAAATTCTCACATATGAGAAGCCGGAACCAGAGACACATGAATTTGCTCTGGGCAGTGACATTTCTGTGTGAGTTGAAAATGTATCAACTGCAGTGAGATAATTTGCACTGTCTCTTGGTTTTATGAGAAAAGAAACCGGCACGTTGCTACCTAGCTACGGCTCATGTCTCTGCAGTCAGCATATTGGCTGTTTGGGGTGAATAAAGTTGAACGATGCAGCTGTCAAATTCATTAGAGTAGCGTAAGGTAAAAAATAAAGTCTGAATACCAATTTAGGCTACCCATCAGACTTTTGTCCTTCAGACAAATAACAAAACTGATGGGGCATGCTGGGAATTAGCCCGATGTTGCTTAGAAAGCGGGGACTGGAAGGATGAAGCAGCAGGTGAAATCAACTTGTTTGCTCTGCTCTCAGCTGAGGTTTGCACACCAAGGTTACAAACAGACAAACCCAAACCACCATTAACACCAGTCACACTAAGGCAAGGATTATACTTTCCGCGTCCGCAAGTATGCGAGGGTCCGCTAGGGTCCGCGTGAGGAAAAAATAATCATCAGTGGGGGTATGTGTAGGGTCACAAAAAATGGGACTAGCGCTACCAGGGCAACAACTACTGCTCATTTGTGGAACGTGTCCGCCAAACTGACTGCTGAAGGTAGTATAAACAGAAGTGGTCCACATCTGTCCGCGTGCGTATAATCAAGGCTTAATGATTCTGTACTCACTCCTTCACAAACTGGAGTATGAAATATGTTCCTGCACATCAAGACCTGGAGCACAAAATTGATTACCTCTTCAATTTGCTTTGTATGTTGTTAGTTACCTTTATAATGGAAAAGAGAGCGTGTAAAAGACATTGTGTGGCCTGCTCACCCTCTTGAAGACACTCTGTGGAAGAAGGCTGGAGCCATGTTGTTGCTCCTGCCGCTGCTGCTGTTGGCTCCACTGAGCTGCACTCTGAACTCTGGCTAACTTCGCACCAAACTGCCAAAACACACAGAGCAAAACGCCAACCAGCTTACAGAGAGGCCGAAACTGACCCCTATAGACCAACGCAGAGCTGTAGTTCATCTTGATATAATTCCTTGAGGCGTCTTTTCACAGAGCTTTCCTGAAAACACTCATGTGAACTGTGTCTTGTTGTCAATACATGAAAGTAGATTGCAATTATTCCAATAAGCCATTAATCAGTCCAGTGCTTCCCCTATATGCATTCAGCAGGGGCGCACCGCCGCTGCTAAAATTTCCCACGATAATTAAACTATGCGCTACAAATGTTTTCACTCACACACTGTGGGAGCACGGCAACACTCAATGCTTGGCTCGCTTCCTCTCCTCGTTCTATACAAAACATCTGCGTGACAGATGCTGTTATAACAGCGTAACTCCTGTGAGGAATCAGGAGGTGCGTAGCGAGTGTTTGATTGTCTGAGCGCCAGAAAGTTAGCTAACATCCCCCCTCCCCTTCAGACTGAGCTGAGCAGGAAAGCTTCAGCAGGCTGCGTCTTTTGGCTGCTATGTAACTTAACATTAGCTCAATAGAAAGTAACTGGTAGCTGTATTTTATTACTGCCTACTTGTCCAATGTTGAGAACATCAGTTACAATCTGAGAGTAAACTGGTGTAGCCTGCAGCTATTTTTCAGATGAAAGAGTGGTTGTTAGGAAAAGAAAGGACGGAGGTGACTGAAGGAGCTGAGGTTAGTAAAGCAAATTAGTGATGCAAACTAGTCCTTTTAAGCTAAAGAGGAGACATTTCTTTTTGGATTTTAATGTGCAAATAAAATGCACCTCAGAAGGGAGGAGGTTTCTCATGTCGCACACAAATGGCAAACATGAACAACCATATCTATAACGATTCTGAGGTCATATTAACAGGGTTTTAGGGGGTGATGTCCAAAACATGCTGTGCAAAAAATGTTAAATCACCGTGGAGAGCATCATAACTTTCCCCAAATCTAAAGTTTGTAGTTCCTCCCCAGTAGACTGATCTTTGGCTGTTGGTTATTTAAGTATTATCTGCTCTAGCTTTTCCAACTCTTTGTTCAGACATATGGTGAAAATAATGGCCTAATGTGATGTGAAATTACACATTTGTCATTGAAAAACGTAAAATTGTCTTGGAGGAAGACCCCCCACCACCCTGACCATGACCACCAACACCAAAACATTCAGCTAAAGCTCACATTAAACTGGGAAAACACTGAAGCTTTAAACTATTCTGATGTGCATCGCATGCTCGTGGAAACAAGAGCAATACTGCTGAGACATGTTGTGTTGGGGTTTTATATTCATACAAAAACTTCACCTCCGCTGCTATAACTCCATCCTAGGGGAAACACTGCAGTCTATTCACATGTAAACCTGATTATTATACAGCAGCCTTGTTTAGCTTTTTAAATTCTTCTGAGTTTTTCATTGTACATGGTTAATTGATTCACTCCAGAATCACTGTTAGAATTAAGAATCGGTGGCTTTTAATTACCTCCATCTGTAACTTCAGAAGCTCGCTCTGCCTCTCCCTCTCCTGGTTCTTCAGCACCTTTTTCATGTCCTCCAGATCCCGATCCTGTTTCTCCAGAAGGTTCATTACTTCAGCATCTTTAGCTTCTACTGTCAGAAAATAAAACAAAAAGCAGAATAAAATACAGATTCATCTTAAACATACTTGTTTTGTTTTTCTATTTTTGTCTAAATAAATTTCCGTTGTGCTGCTCTGCGCTGATGCTGTGAGCTGATCCCAGGACAAACTTTTCAGGGATTACTGTTATGAAACTCTCACAATGTCACTTTGATCATGTTTTACTGAAAAATGAAGGAAATGCAACACACATCTGTCAAGTGTAAAACAGAAATTTCAGGATATTTACTCCCTTGTCTATGTCCTGTATAATGACTTTAATGCTGTAGGGAGCTTATAATGTCAGTATTCCCTGAAACCTAAAACACTGACTGTTTTGTGAGGCCTTACACTGACTGAGAGCCTCCCTGTGGGCGTCCTCCACCTCTCTCCTGCACTGCTGCCTCACAGTCTCTAGCTCCCTCTTGTGTCTCTCGCTTTGTGCTCTCATTTCACTGACCAGCCGCTGAACCTCGGCCTCTCCGTCCTGATGACAACACACAGGCCGCAAACACACACACACACACACACACCGCATCACCGACTGACGCTAGAGTTCAAATTACTTCTACAAGGTCCAAGGTCCAAGGTAGATTTATCATTTTACAACACAGGGTTGTTTAACGAGATGAAGTTGGAGTTGCCTTTATGCTACTCACAAAAAGCAAATGTTATATACTAGGGTAACACTTGAAATTGCTACTTAGTATTAAGGTTTTGAAAGGCACCAACAAGTCTTAAAATATTGGTAAGAAAATATACGTAGGGAATCATAATGATGTCAAACTGAACTCTAACTCAGTAGCTAGAAAAAAAAAGCTTTGAGACTGAAAATTACACCTACAAATGATTTCTGTCTCAGGAACACTGTCCTTTACTGCCGTGGCTTGATGTTGTAAGTTGAACTATATTTTTTATCAGAAATATAAATAAAATAGAATAAAAACATTTTATTTTATTCTGTGCAGTGACTGCAGAGCTCACAAAGCTTAATATTGCTGTGTGTGCACAGTAATAATTAAAGGCAACCCACTTATACACATCAATGTGTTTATCAATTCAGAGCTTCACTCATTTGGATTTTGGCAGCTGGATAGTAACAGGACAACATTTACAGAGATAATAATACATAAACTGAAGGTAAACTTGAACCTTGTGTACAGCTTACAATAGATAAATACATTTCTGGGAACATTGCTAACACACAGAGCACATGACTTATCCACATGGAAATGGACACATTTGCCTTTTTTGAGTTCACTCCCTCCTCACTTCTTACCTCTGCTGTTCTCTCGTTCTGTTGTTTCAGGTTCGCCATTTTGTTCTTCAGTCTCTCGTTCTCCACTACAACATGAGCAGTTTGTAAGTAAATGCTTACAGAGAATTTCATCTTCGGTATCCCAAATATAAGTGTAATACTAGTTGGATATCACACAGACAATAGGACATTTTTATTCTTTCCTGTGGTAAATCTGTGTTATATGAGTGCTTAAGATTGACCCTGTACATATTTCTTCATCCTGGTTTTATTTTGATAAATCACTTATCAAATATCTGTGTCCAATGGGTTATTGCAGTTACCTCTGAGGTTGCACTGCTCCTGCAGAGTCTGCTGCAGTCTGTTCACTGTGACAAGAAGACTGTCTCTCTCTGCAACAGGTAGATTCACAGAATTAGCAATGTTTCATGGTTTGTGTGATTGTTTTCAGGTGCCATATATATTTGCAGGTTCTGCTATATACAGTATCTCACAAAAGTGAGTACACCCCTCACATTTTTGTAAATATTTGATTATATCTTTTCATGTGACAAAACTGAAGAAATTACACTTTGGTTCAGATGGTGTCAAGCGTGTGTGGCGGCAACCAGGTGAGGAGCACAAAGACAACTGAGTCTTGCCTACAGTCAAGCATGGTGGTGTGAAGCTCTGGTGAACTCCATGCCCAAGAGGGTTAAGGCAGTGCTGGAAAATAATGGTGGCCACACAAAATATTGACACTTTGGGCCCAATTTTGACATTTTCAATTAGGGGTGTACTCACTTTTGTTGCCAGCGGTCTAGACATTAAAATCAAATTTAAACTGTTAAACAAGCTGTTCACTCACTACTTTACATTGTAGCAAAGTGTCATTTCTTCAGTGTTGTCACATGAAAAGATATAATCAAATATTTACAGAAATGTGAGGGGTGTACTCACTTTTTGTGATCCTACATAACGTGTATACAACCAGTGAAATGTATTAATTAATTAATTAATGCTTAATTTTCTTGGTTATAACTTTACCTTACACTATCTGAAATCCACCCATCTGTAAATTTGAACAAATTTAGGATTTCCTTTCATGAATTGAAACTGGAGACAGCAGGTCAGGACTGTCATTTGACAGAAATCACCAGCAGAGGGAGACATTACAAAAACCAAGCATCACAAGGACTTTAAATCGCAGGAAAACAAACACTGTAGTCAAAAATAATAATAAATAAATGTGAAGCTCCAGCTTTCAGATGAAAGCGCAAAAACTCACCCTCAATCAGACTTTTCTCCTTGGTCAGACAGAACTTCATGAGCCTGTTGGCATCCTCCAGCTTGATCTCCAACACGCTGTTTTTGTCATTAACCTCTGTGATTTTCTGTTTCATAAAAGATTTCACTACTTATTTACAGTTACATTACTCATTACTGATTTTGGGTGTATGTTCGATAACGTTAAATGTTCGAGTAACGTAGTAGTGTCAGTTTAGTTTTATATCAAGCTATGGCTTTTTATTGTGTTTTGTTTCTTCATTTTGATTTGGTTGCTGTAACATTAACAGTACAATTTACCTTTGTGATTATGGAAGGCAACTGTTATTTATCCAAGTTACAGTTAACAAAATAGAAACTATCATAATCATAACTGAAATTAAAAAAATAGAAAAAGTAACTGTTAGCTAACAAATGTTGATCACGGTCATGGCACATAACGTTAATCACATAATAACTCAAATTTTCTTTTTTGTCAGATTATGACTAAGGTTATCACTCATTTAACTTAGTCAACCTTGAGTTAGCTAACGTTAACGTTAGTTATCATCAAAGTTAACTTAACTGTTACCTGTTCAAGTCGAGTAAACTCTTCCATAAACTTGTCAAGATTAACACAGTTTAACTTTATCATTTTACTAGTCTAAGAAAGAACAAACAACGGTAATAAAACGTTACAATAATGTTACGATAGAAAAATAAAACAACTTTCGTGGCCAGCAACAAAGTTTCGCCGTTAAAGCTAGCTGACACCCTGCACGCGCTCCGTCTGGTTTCTGTTGCGCCTACAGCAGTGTTATTATGGTAAGGACGAGGTGCGAGTGAGCGGGAGGTCCTGAAAGATACATACGCGTTTTTTGTGATGGTCTTAGTGATTAAATTAACACAGTTACATACAACGGTAATATGATATTACTAATAATAACAATGTTGATAATAGTAGTTTTAATAATAATATTATTTATTATTATTTGACCTATTTGAATTATTTGAAATTTGACCTTTCACCAGCATAATTCCTCAGCAGGTAGTTCAGCGTTGTCATGGCTTCTCTTTCCTAGTGTCCTCTATTATCACTGGTACAGATATCATAAAATTTTACTGTACCAACTATGAGATATTGCACTCAAAACATCCCTCAAACTGGGAACTTTGACCTTACAACAAAATAATTCCTTAATAGGTGGCATCATCATTGTCATATCATCTCCTTCATAATGTTCTCTACCATCACTGGTACATATATCAAAACAATTTACTGTAGCAACATGGAGAAATTATACTCTAAAAACCCTCCATTGGCGAAAATAGACAGTTAACATTTTTGTGAACTTTGACCTTTGGTGAAAGGTCAAAGTTCACATAAATGTTAACTGTCTATTTAGTTTTCACTGTTGGAGGGATTTTTAAAGTGCAATATCTCATAGGTGGTACAGTAAAATGTTAGGATATTTGTACCAGTGATACCAGTGGTACCAGTAGAGGACACTAGGAAGGAGAAGCCATGACTGAACTTACGTTGGTGAAAGGTCAAATTTCATATAAATTATGTCCAGATTAATAACAAATAATAATAAATTATACTACTATTATCATTATTGTATTATATATATTATTGTAATATTTTTATTGTATTTGTGTTCATATAATCACCAAAACGTCACAAAAAACCGCGTGTGTATCTTTCAGGAACTTCGGCTCACTCGCACCTTGTCCTTACCATAATAACACTGCTTTAGTTTAGGCGCAACAGAAACCAGACGGCGTCTGGCTTGACCACGGTTTCGCATTCGGCTGCTCACGTTACCGCAGTTCTTAAACGGCTGTGAAGTGCTTGCACAGGGGTTCGCCGATAACATTTATCTACTGGCAAAATCTCTTATGCAAGTACGTTTTTCTACTTCAGTATTTACTTTCGTTGTTCTTTTACTTAACATTTCAGAACAAAAGTGTTAACAGTTAACCTTACACTTAAAGTTAGACGCAGCGTTAGCTGTGTGAAACCAATAGACTATGAAACGGTAACTTACATAAATACTTTAGCTTTCTGAATGGGAGTTGTTTCACAAATTAATACATAACCATAATGCATAAAGTTAGCCTACCCACTTTTACTTAAATTGGCAATAAATAGGATCAACTGTAATCCAAATGTGCAATTTCCCAATGCAATGCTGCTACTTTTACTTGAAAAACCCAATTTGTATGGTTAATTCTTCCACCCCTGAATAGGAGTAACATTTTACTCCTCTTGCAAAGTCTTTGCAGTGCTCTTTGCAGTGCTGTGAAAACATTTACTAGGTAAGGTTAATAAGAAGACAGACAGGTATGAAAGTACTTTATTTGCAACAATTTGAACAGTTAAATGCAATAACTGATGATCTACCTCAGCATCATATGTGTTTTTAATCAAAAACATAAAAATAAAAAAAACTTTTAGGCTACAGTCCATGCATTCAAAAACAAATACTGACTGAGCATAACACTGACAAACCAAATGATTTATGCCAGTTCTGAAACCATTTCCCAGTTTAGAACATAATGGCATCAAAGTATAAGCATCTAATATTGTATGCTACAGCTGATCCTTTTACATAAAGCTCTTGCTTTATTTTACTTGTTTGGTAGTTCATGTGTTGGCAACAAGGTGATACCCCAATAAGGCTGAGTATTTAAAAAGCAGTGGTTAAGTAACATAATTTTACTGTGGTAACAGTAAACACTGATTTATTAAAAAGGCAGCTTTTGATATGTACCCTGCAAATGTTTGTAAAATTACATTACATTAAATGTGTTCTCATTTAAAGCTGCATTAGTCCATATTTACATATTTACACTGAATGAAATGACTACCTATACAAACCATTACCACCAACTCTGCAGCTCTGCAAAGCTTTTTAGCAGCTTTTCGCTCCTAGCACAAAACAGCAGACAAAATGGGCGATGGGCTAGTGAAGAAAATGGCGGACAGAAACATGACTCTAAATGAATGATAGCTAGTGTTTCTAATTGTCAGCTGGTTGTCTAAATAGGCAACTAGTTAGCTGTCTAATTAATTCACTAGGGCTGTGTGTCTGTCAGCTTGTCTTGTTTTCTGTCCTCTTGAGGCCAAAAAATGATCAATGCAGCTTTAACACAGTTACTTATTTAATAAGTGGTTTTGTACATCTGCTCTTTTCCCCTCATACCAAACTTCCTACCATGCTGACTTTACAGCCCTGTCAGAGGGAGTAGCGGGACGAGGTAGAGGTGGTGGCAGGACAGGCCCCGACACCCCTTCAACTATTTTAGGAGAGCTGACACTCAACCTCATGACCCACAATCTTCAAGACTGCTCCCAATCTTATCTCTGCCTTTGACTATGTCATATATAGTATACATAATTGTCTTATCTTTGCACCGTTCACCGCTGATCTAAGGTGTGATGCTTCTCAAAAGGTCAGGGGTCAAGTAGCCGCCTGGTGTCGGCATGGTCTTTGGGATTATCAGCTGGGGAGCAGGTGATGAGTTTTGTGTCAGTAAGAGGCTGTTCTGCCCGTCAACACCCTCTACCACGGTGTACATGGGAGCAGGGGGAAGAGGGGACGTGGGGGTGGAATCCAATTCGTGGTAAGGCGACGGTGACGGCGAAGAACACAAGTCTCGTCCTGTCTGGCGCGTTTCACTCATGTCTTCTGTGGACAATCTTGGGCTAATTTCTCCTGCGTTAAGCTCGGAGGTGTAACCCCCATGATCTGTATTCACCACCAGGAGCTGAAACTCTTTCTTTTCTTTCTCCTTATCTACTATTATGTCTTTCTCTGTGTCTTTGCTCAGCAGAACCTTGCCAGACAACATCACCTCACTCACCTGGGTGTACATTCCCCCTATGCCTGGCGCTACAAAAGGAGGCTCCCCATTGGTGGGACTCTGGACCGGGGAGCTTGGCTCACAGGCTGTGAGGAATGACGGTTCTTTGCTGAGAGTTTGAGTTGGGATGAGAGGAAGGAAAGGTGATGGTTCCGGGTCGCTGGGGAGATCTGGGTCGCAGCAGCTGGCCCGGCCCGAGTCGTCATCTCTGAAGCCGATGGAGAGGGGAGTGCAGTTGGAGGACAGGGAGCGGTGCATGAGACAGTCTGTGTCCAGGTCATTCTGTCTGTCGTTCTGCTCCTCAATGTCCAAATCGATGAATTCCACCCAGGGGTCATTGTTGTACAGCTCCGGCCTCAGATCAGGGGGCCCTCCCAGGATTGACGTCAACTCCCTCAGCTTCCCCTTCTGTGAGATGAAGAAAATAGATTAGTGAGTTAGGTCGATTGCTTCAGGGATAATACCGCTTCCACTTTATCACTCCTTCTGCCTTTTGTTAGCATGGCCATCTCATCTCACTGGGAATGCGGTGACATTGCTAAAAACACGTCACACAGGTCCAGAAGCATGAGCAGTCAGACGATCAGAAAGGTTTAAACTAGCTGTTGGGACCTCACAACATGGGGAACAAAGAAGAGGCCTACATGTAAAACACAACAACAACAAAATTCCTCTGGTCCGTTCAATCTCACCCGAATGTGAGCTTTAAGTTTAATCCAAATCCTGGATTCTTACTGGCCGAGCCCCATGAAGCACAGAAACCTCCTGTGGCGCGACGATGACGTCACCATTTAAGAGGAATGGTGGACCCTTCCACTGTGACTCCGGAGGCTACAGGAGGTGAAAATTTTAACTCGCTGGGCGAGACACTCAGTTTTGTGTTTGCTGAAGACATGGATAACCGCTTCGCCCCACTAAGTCAACTCTGCTGTCGCCCGAGGAACAGCTTTACATTTATTCATTTAGCTGACGCTTTTATCCAAAGTGACTTACAAATGCTATACATGTCAGAGGTCGCATGCCTCTGGAGAAACTAGGGGTTAAGTATCAGGGGAAACAATGGTGGATGGGTCACAGTGGGGGTTAGAACCCGGGTCTCTCACACCAAAGGCATGTGTCTTATCCATTGCGCAATCACCACCAACAGCATTTACAATTGGACTCGCTGACAGAGCGGTACCCCTGCCATCATCAGTCTCTGAGCCTGAGAGGACTTCGCCGGATGACCTACAGTAAATGGACTTATCTAATCGCTACCAATAGCAATCTCTTGTGAGGAGCACAGACAAGTTTATTACTGTTTAATTTTTGCATTGCTGTGGGAAATAATGGACCACAGTGTCCTGTTTCCTGCTGTGTGCCTCTGGCTCTGTGCTTAGCCTGTTTTCATTACTTGTTTCGGTTCCACGCCACCAGGCCTTTACTTGTGTTTGTTTCTGCCTCTGCACTTTATGAGACAAAAGTCCAGTAACACAGCTGCCAAATACAAGTTTTTTGCCAGGTTCCTGTGTGATAAAGGGATACTAACTGCGTTTTTCCACCGCAATTATGATCTCTTGATTGTCTTAGTTTCTGCCACTGCATGTGGAGCTATTAACAATACTATGTTTTTTGCCTTGTTGGACTTTGATCTAGCAAATTACTTTGTTGAGTACAGATTTAAAACTATGAAAAAAAGACTTATTCAGAAACCAGAAATTACTTTTGAAAGGGAAATACATATACGTGAACACAAGCACAAACACAAGTTTCCTCCCGCCTCCACAGACACACATCCATGGCTTACCAACCCTTACCAACACAAAACCTTTTTGAGTTATTGGCCATTGAGACTTCACATTCCACCTCAATACAATGGAGTCAAACAGAATTTAGTTTGCTGTGCTCAAATTATCACCAAATGACCTGTACATTTAAAACAATGAACAGCTTCCTCTTCCAAAAAAAAAGCCCTCGTTACTCAAGATATAATAACCTTACCGTGGAGTAGGGATGGGTACGAGAATACGGTATATCGATGACTCTATTACTAATCGGACACACAAATGATTAATTAAAAAAAATATTTTTTTTCCCCCTATCTTATCTTTTTTTCCTTTACTATTGCATTTGTGTAAATCCGGGTGTGTATAAAAAAAACATGGCGTGGCGCTTCTCAAACAGCAATCTAAAATATTACTATTATACAATACTGTCAAGTCATAATTGCCGGTGTCACAGATGATAAGGCGCTCAAAAACACAGTCTGAAAAAATGCTGACTCTTCCAAGGTCTGACAGGAGAATGCCACACAAATATGTGATTTATGTTTTGCTTTTCCATTTATAATCAGGGTTGTTCTCTGTGCGATTAATGACTCCCTCTGTGAAAAGCATGAGAATCAGCTGTGGAATGAGAACTTATACACACACACACACACATATACATATATGATTAAGGTGAAATGATCCCTTTAAGTTAGGAAGTTGGGAATGATGACAAAATCTATGTTAATCTAGGTCAAAAGCTCTGCTGGGAAAGATTTCTGTGGACCTGAAAATTGTTTCCCTCATACACTTTAGGTGATGAATGACTTTAATACAGATGTGCAAGTAAATGAGATCAAGCATCATAACATGTTGATAAATACCTTGAGTAGTTCAGAGTCAATTCCTCTTATTTTAGGTCCAGGAACAGGAGGCAAAAGAATAACCATCAACCTTAGGGAAGCAAAACAGGAAAAATTTAAAATTTGACATAATACATGCAAGGCAAGGCAGGTTTATTTGTATAGCACATTTCAACAACAAGGTAATTCAAAGTGCTTTACATAAAACATAAAAGCAACAGGGAAATATAAAAAAGCAACATAGGGAAAAAAATAATAAAAGTGTGTACAATCAGGGTTAAAAGAGTTAAATGGAAAATAAAAACAGGCTGAGGGGTTGAGCAAATAACTGAGTTACAATTATTCTGAAAAGAGAACAAACAGAGAAGTACACTTAATCTACTCTCTCTAGCTAGTCTGTACTCGGGTCCATAGCAATCTTTGGGTCCACTCAAACTCCAAAAACCCTCGGACACTACAGAGAAACCAGGACATGTCTGTCCGCAGGCCACTTTGATCCAGTTATACTCTGGACCCACCTGCGCGTTTACAGGTGGACAGAGGTCCCTGCAAATCACTCAATCACTCAGACGCGAGATTTAAGACCACTTCCTTCACTCTGTTCAATCTCACTATCATTATCTTTTCACTCAATTACCTACTCATTTCTCACCGTGTAAATATTTAATTAAAAGCAATGGTAAAAAGCTAAAAACAAAGAAGAAGAAAACAGGACAGTAAAAGTTACAGCGCAGTGTAAGTTATCAATCTACTAGTTAAAGGCAATGGTAAAAAGAAAAATCTTAAATATTTAATTAAAAGCAATGGTAAAAAGAAAAGTCTTCAGTCTTAAATTAAAAGAACTGACAGTTTCAGCAGACCTGCAGTTATCTGGGAGTTTGTTCCAGATATACGGAGTATAATAGCTGAACGCTGCTTCTCCTTGTTTAGATTTGACTCTGGGGACAGAAAGCAAACCTGCCCTAGATGACCTGAGAGGTCTGGATGGTTCGTAACGAAGCAGAAGATCAGAAATGTATTTTGGCCCTAAACCATTTAGTGCTTTATAAACTAACAGCAGGATTTTGAAATCAATTCTTTGACATACAGGAAGCCAATGTAAAGACCTCAGAACTGGAGTGATGTGATCCACCTTTTTGGTCTTAGGGAGGACTCGAGTAGCAGCGTTCTGAATCAGCTGCAGCTGTCTGATGGATTTCTGTAAGGACACTATTACAGTAGTCGAGTCAACTGAAGATAAATGCATGGATAAGTTTTTCCAGGTCTTGCTGAGACATAAGTCCTTTAATCCGTGATATATTCTTCAGGTGATAGTAGGCTGACTTTGTAATTGTTTTAATGCGGCTCCTCAGATTCAGGTCTGAGTCCATGACTACACCAAGATTTCTGGCTTGATTTGTGGTTCTTAACGTTACAGATTGAAGTCGAGTGCTGACTTTCAATCGTTCCTCCCTGGCTCCAAAAACAATAACTTCAGTTTTATCTTTGTTCAGTTGAAGAAAATTCTGGCACATCCAGCCATTGACCTGCTCAATACAGTTACTCAGCGCTTGTATCGGATCATAGTCCCCTGGTGAAATGGTTATGTAAATCTGTGTGTCATCTGCATAATTATGGTAACATTTTGTTGTTTTTCATGATCTGAGCCAGTGGAAGCATGTAAATGTTAAACAAAAGAAGCCCCATAATGGAGCCTTGGGGAACTCCACATGTCATTTTTGTCAGCTCAGATGTGTGATTACCTATAGACACAAAGTAGTCCCTGTCCTTTAAGTAGGATTCAAACCAGTTTAGTAATGTGCCAGAAAGTCCAACCCAGTTTTCAAGTCTGTCTAGTAATATTTTGTGGTCGACCGTGTCGAATGCATTTTGTCTGTGAAGAAGGAGGCAAATTCATTGCAGGCCCTGGTGGATAGAAGTTCAGAGGCTACAGACACAGGAGGGTTGGTTAGCCCGTCGACAGTAGCAAACAGGGCACGTGCATTATTAGTGTTTTTGGTGATGATGTCAGAGAAGAAGGACCGCCTTGTATTTCTCAGTTCTAAATTATTAATGCGAAGTCTAAGATGTCATAATGAACCTGGAGATTTGTTTTCCGCCACCTGCGTTCAGCTTTTGGACACTCTCTTTTTTTAGTTCTAACCAGCGTGACATTTCTCCATGGAGATCTTCTCTTACCAGAGACCACCTTCACCTTGGCTGCTGCAATGGCATCAATAACATTTGTAATTTTAGAACTAAAATTAGAGTGAGAGGGCGGGTGTCGAGGAGAAAGCCTCAATACATTTTTCACTAGTGTTTTCAGTGATATGCCGTTTTGTGAACACCTCTGTTTGTACATTTGTGTGCACGCAGATAGCACTCTCAAAGAAAACACAGGAATGATCAGAGAGAGCAACATCAGTCACCACAACCTTGGAAATGTTCAGACACTTGGAGATGACTAAGTCCAAAGTGTGCCCCTTATTGTGTGTGGGCTCCATCACATGTTGGGTCAGTCCATAATTATCAAGAACACAACACAGTTCTTTAGTCCCTCTGTCCTGGGGGTTGTCAACATGGATGTTAAAATCACCAATAATAACTACACAGTCAAAGTCAATACAGATTATAGACAGCAGTTCACCAAAGTCATCAAAAAGGTTTGCACAGTATTTAGGGGGCCTGTAGATATTTAGAAAAATAGCTTGAGAAGAGGAATTCAGCTGAAGAGCCACATATTCAAAAGAAGCAAAATTCCCTTAAGACATCTTTTTGCATTGGAGGAAGTCATTAAACAAAATGGCAACTCCACCTCCTCTCTTATGCACTCTAGCTTCACTCATAAAACTGAAGTTGGGAGGGGTAGACTCAATAAGGACAGCTGCACTGTTATCTTGGTTCAAACCAAGTTTCAGTTAAAAAAATGAAATTAAGATTGTGAGTGATTATCAAATCATTGACTAAAAATGTTTTTCCTGCCAAAGACCTAATGTTTAACAAAGCTAATTTTAGTGTGTTAAAAACATTATCTGGCCCACTTTTTTCGACAGGCTGTGGCTGACGAGGAATTAATACTAAATTTTCAGGATATGTTGAGTGTTTCCTGTTTCTTAACACATTCACCGTGCTTTTTCTGTTACCTGTCAAGACAGGGATGGAGAAGACTACCAGCACACTGGGCCCTGGCTTGTCCTGGGAAGAGTCATGAGTGCTATTTTCCTTGTAGCCTGGACCCAGCACATATCAGACAGAGCTTACTGGGCTTTTTCGCCATTGCGGAGCGGGAAGGCGGGTTGTGCGCTGAATTTGTGACACGTGTCAAACCTGGAGAACCAGTGGTGGAGGTGGACGGTGAGGGGGGTTTATGATAGAGAAAATGGGAGTGGAGCAAATAAAGGTACAGGGAGTAAATTTGGTCCCAGCGCTAACCAGGTCTTCCATGTGATCAGTGAAGTCCAACAGTGGGGAGAGGGGAGAAAGGGTGTCTGAAGATAAGGGTGACCTAGATGGGGATTGGGGGGGGTAAAGATGGTGAATCCTCACTGTTGGTTTTCAGTGAGGGAGGTGGAGGCTCTTCCTCTTGGTTCAGTTGTCTCCCGTGATAAGAGCTCTCTTCCGGCGGGGGCTGAGGTGGCTCTCCTTCAAGGTTTCGGGCGTGTTGTGTTATGTCTTCTTCTTGTTTAGATTCCTCTTGTCTCTTGTCCTTGGCAGAGGGAACAGATGAGTGACGCAGAAAGTAAAACAGGTTGGAGCTGAACAATTTTACTCCTGACTTGTTAAGGCGAAGTCCATCTGCCTTAAAAAGATGTCTGCGGTCCCACAGAAAGTAAAAGGTTTTCAATGAAATGCACTGAATGGACAGTACATGCCGTTGAGAGCCACGTGTTCAATGCCATCAATTTGCTGAATCTCTAAGCTCTTCTTCGGACTGGCGGTATAGGGCCACTGATAAACACCTCAGCATTCAAAGAGCTGACTGTGTTCAACAGATTATTAAAGTCCTCTTCCAACACTTCAGACTGTTGCTTCACAACATCATTGGTCCCGATGTGCAGTATGATATTTTTCACAGCAGGATATTCAGCCACAATATGCAGGATTCTTTCTGCCAAGTCAGACACAGTATTCTTCGGAAAGCAGAGTATTTTGGTGTTCTTACTGCACATGCTTCTTACATCGTTAACAGCAGAGTCACCCACAATCAGAGTTTGAGGCCCAGTCGTTAGCTTTCCCTGCAGCCTTTTACTTTCTGATTTACTCTCAGTCCTTACCCTTCTGTGTGAGGACGGGATGTTATCCAGGTCATCAGACGGAGATCCAGGGTCCTGCAATAGTGGTGAAAATCTGTTCTGCTGTTGCACACTCGGTTGTTTGGGAGGTTTGTTGCTAACTCTCCCTTTCGCAGATGTCCACGGCTGTGTCCTACCAAGAACAGGGGTTGAAGAGGCGCTCTGCCTGGATGATAATGCAGGCCAGCCAGTCGCATCACAAATCTCAGGGCGCTGGGTTCTGCCTGTTACTTGTCCTCCCATTTCCCCAGGAAATGATTTACTCTTAGGCTTTGCTCCAAGAGCGTTCCAGGGAGGACTCCAACTTTCCTCCTGCTTCTTGGTAGTCTTGTTGGTGCTAATTAGCCGTGTGTTAGCATGTTCTTGTCCACTGTTTTGGGTCCACGGTAAAATAGTGTCATTCCCACATAGTCCATTCACTTCCACATTCACTTCCAACCTGTGGATCTTGGTTTCCAGTACTGCAATCTTCTGTAGAAGTTTGTAGAAGTCGTCCATGGAGAAGGGGGGCATGTTGTTGCTAATTAGCATTAGCTGTAACTCCAGTCACTGCAGTACAGGCTAGTGCTATTGATAGGCCGCACTCGCGTAGCACTAAGATCATAAAAGTTTTTAAAGTATGGTAAGAGCCAACTTTATCTGACAGGCCCAATAATTTAAAAGTATCCAAGAGCTGCTGATTTCTAGCAGGAAAAAAGAGAGTTTCAGCAAAAGAATGCAAGCAGAGGCAAGAGCAAGCAGCAAAGTGTCTGCACTGTAAGAAAGCAGGACGCTTCTGTTGCATGACAACAGAAAACACACTTCAGACCTCAGTATAAACAACGAGGAGCAGCTATACAGAATGCCTTGATATTTAATACCTTTGTATGACAGCCTCCATAACAGAGACACTGAAGAAGTTTTTCAAGGTCCAGCAGCCCACACAGTGTGCTGATTACTGAGCAGCAAACTGCCCTTTCTCATTTCTCTACACTTTTTTCTCTCCTTTCAGCCCTACACAGACATTTACATGGTTGTAAAACACTTACTTTTCCTGCTGCGATATGACGACTAACATCAGGATGGCCAATAAACACAAGGCACCAAAGACAAGCAAGGCCACCACCGGGAATCTCGACACTGGGAAAAGAAATTCACATATACTTAATATATTGGATTGTAAGATCAAAAAAATCTATCAAAATAAATAAATGAAAAAAGCAACATGAAAGGCTATGTTAAGGTTTTATATTAACAAATGTATAATTCACTGAAGCCTTTTCAGGCATGAAATATATAGCATTGCTGCTTTTATCTATCTGTTATCTATGTATTGCTCTCTATCCTTCAGACTCAGACATGACAGGACTTTTATGCAAAAACAAGATGTTGAGTTTTTACCTTTAGATGGGATGTGGACGAAAATCGAGTCACTATATTCTCCAAACTCTTTCCCACCAAGCATTTTGCACCGGACCCGAATCTCGTGATTGATGTTAGTTTGAAGCCCATAAAGCGAGCGATGTGTGCTTTTCACAAGGTCGACCTGTGGTGGAGAAAACAAGGTTCAAATACCAGACGCAGTGCTAAAGCTTTACTATCTTCTCCTCAAAGAAACATTCATGTTTTCCTCGACATTAACAAAAATCAATTAATGTATATGAGAGTCTTGTAATCTTCATATCAACTGCACTTACTGAGGATAACTGATGCACACAGAAGTATGTTTTAATATGATACTAAAATTCAACCTAACTGAATTTAGACACTGAAATAAAACTTAGAAGACACCCACCGCTTCAAACATGTCAGAGCTGGCATCGCGGTATTGGACCTCATACTGCAGTGTCATCCATCCCATCTTCACATCTGCGGACTGAGGAGGCTTCCAGCTCAGCATGATGTCATAGTAAGTGCCAGTCAAACTCACATTCAGCAGCGTCCAGTTCAGGTCAACTGGAGGATCCGGTTGAACTGTATATGGGTGGTGGAGGCAAGTTAGTTGGAGTCAGAGCTTCATCCATTGTAATACATTTGTTTTTGTTACAGGGAAAAAAGAACCAAACTAATTCTTCAATCAAGATCACTCCCACTGATTGCTTTTTTACACCACATGGTCACAAGTGGACACCCAAAAATTACATCAATATATGATTGCTGAACATGTCAATCAAAAACCACGGGCATTAATCACCAAATCACCAAAGAACAATTTGTCCTCTGGGCAACATGAATGTGTACATTGGCATCCCTAAAAAGAATTTTTAAAACCCAACAACCACATGAGGCTACAAGACTCGTGGGATATATTGTACAGGACGGGCTTCCCTTTATCTGAGAATATGGACAAAAAACGCATGTTTAGACTTTTCAGAGACTAGACTAGTAGCTAATCTCAAATTTGGGGAAGAAAAGGTAATTTTCCCCCCGCCAAAACAGTTCCTGAAGGCCATTCCCATCAAAGAGCTTAGTTTGCAGCTTGAGAGGTGCAAGTCAGGATAAATATTCCCCCAAATGCTCTATGCTGGTCATTAAACCTTTAGGTGGAAAATGAATTATGGTAAGACCTCACAAGCTAATCAGCTTTTTAGTAACTTTCTCTAATCTGAATCATGATTGGTGAGCAGTGAGGCAGTAAACTCACCGATGTCTTGAACATGGAAGAGGTTCTCATCATAGAGGATGGCTCGATCCCTCGAGCGGAGCTGGACACTGTAATATGTCCATATGGATGTGTGGTTCTCATTGAAGAAGCACTCATTTGGCCTGTCTGTGCTGTACTGAGGACACTCACTCCACTCTTTAGGAGAGGCATGGGGGGGTCTGCAAAGGAGAAGGAGGCAACATGTGGTCTAAACAACAGTATGAGCAGAGGAAGGAGGTGACAGAAATCACCTATTCATTTGGTCAGAAACACAGTTTCAAAATATTTAAGATTGTCTGTAGTTAGTATCTTTACAGCTGTAGAGCCTAGCCAGGTTTTTGCTCTTCTAAGTCCCCTACCAGTAGTGGGGCTTAAATGTTAAGTTTGCCTTGAAGGTAGTACTAGAGAAGAGGTCATATTAAAATGAAAAGCATTCATTCTCTTGGGAGTATGAACTGCCAATAACATTATGAGATTCAGTATCTTATGAACAAAGCTGACATTTTGGCCTGAGAGTAGTTTAAAGAAACAGTTTGACACAATGGCGGCAGTATTCCGCCATGTTTTTCTTATTGGTAAACAAAGAAATGAAAATAAAATAAAATGAAGTCGTGGCTGTGTAGGATATATAGAATATATTTTATTCTTCTGTCTGCAGCTTGTATATACAACGGTGAGACCCAGCCTTCGGCTCCCATAATGCCTTTTCTTCAGCACTGACAACCAAGGTCCAGTGAGGCCTTCAAATTAGAGGGCTGCGCCTATACTCATAGAGTTACAGTACATAACTACCGTTCTATTTCGTATAGGCTTCGCTCTCTAAAGCTATCACTATTGGGTTAGAGGCGAAGCAGGATGAGTAAACGCCTCACTATTTTATTTACAGCCTTGTTGTTGGTGTGGACCAGAACGTGCTGGTCCAGCAGCAGAGGGGCAAAGTGTCAGACCACCTTCCACACCGTGAATGTTTATGTGGAAAGGCATGTGGCCCTGCTACAGACTGCCTACCACCTGAGAAAGGCAGGTCCCGCCCTAGCCCATCAGGGAGGCGTCTCTGAAGACCGAGACATGGGACGTGACCCTGCCCGGGGGACCCCGACTGAAAGAGAGAGGGAGTCCCGCCAGTACGTTAGATTCAAACCGTACAGACAGATTATTATTGCTTGAATAGATCAGATGAGCAGTTGAGTAATAAAGAATAAAAGTGTGGGTGAAGGTTTTTTTTAAAAAAGTGGTTTAAGACGACTGTTCCTTACACGTGAGTGCATATATACACTTCTTTCCTTCCCTCGTCGTTTCTTTGTACGATGCTACATTATTATTTTTTTCTGTTATCTGAGTCACACACATGCTTTGTTTCTTTGGAGGTCTATCTTTATGTATCACACATTTGTGAAGACAGCTGGAAACTAAATAAGGAAAAGCTACTGCACTGTAAAGGAAGAAATGTGAATGTGAATTGTTTAAGGTTCTACCTATTGAGTTTGCTTAATTTATTATGCACTGGAAAATGCAAACATGATATTACACATTTGTCAAATCTGTACTGTTTAAAAAACCTGGATAGTCAAGGTTTATATCTTTTGTTGTAGTGACTAATCTTTTTTGTTTTTTGTACCCTGATTTCCCTGAAAGCCCAGATAAAAAAATTAATTTCTGTTAGTAATGACAAAGTTTTCCCCCTCACTTTTGGTTAATGTAGAATAATCGTAAGTCTCCAGGCTTGGAGAGGCTCTGGGAAGTGCCGACATTCCATCTGCAGCGGAAAGTCTCCATGTTGGTGGAGACGCAGCCAGTGAGGTGTGGGTATTTGTGGAGGAGGACTGCAGGGAGACAGAGAGGGAGGAAAACAATTACATATCTAAATATTTCTGATTTTATAAAGATGTGTTTCTCTTTCTTTTCTTTGTTGCAACTGACTCAGCATTGCCTTTTAAGTGCTGCACTTCATAGACAGGATAACAAATGTAACGTAACTCCAGTGAGCAGTCTAGCCAGAGGGCAAATATCAGCATTTTCCTGGAAGTCATTTTACTGCTCTCCAAGCGAAAGCTGCAGCTGGAGAATTCCCTGCCAAGGCTGTCGTGGAATAAGCTGTTTGCGTTCGCTGTACTCAGAAACGCATTTGCACAGAAAGTACCACTCTGATCCTGGATTACAGGCTCCATAAACTAAACAATGTGTGCACATAGCACATTTGTGTAACTCTCTTGCAGCTGACCTTAGCTGTGTCCCAATTCCTGTCTGTCTGTAGTGTGTTCATAATGTGAAATGTATACACGTATTGTATCATTTCTTGTTATTACAAAATGGTAAAGTACTCAGATTTTGGGTATGCTAACAGCAAAAACAGTATATTCCCCAATGTATTGCAATGTATTTAATTTAAGACTGAATGCATAGTAATAATAGTCGATCGGTCAGGTCAATGTGTTTGATCTTAATAGCTCCTCATTTATGAGCTCATTTGCCCCGTGCTTGGTACTCTGCAACATATCATCTCTTTAAATGGATTGTCTGTCCCAAATGTACAAAATAAAATGCTCACTCGCTGCTAGTGGTATCTAGCCATGTGGATAAGGCTATTTAATTATCCCACATTTTAAGATATCCTTCTGATACAGTAGAGGTATGGAATTTCTTTTGTGGTTTTCACAACATTGAAAAATGTCTTTAAAATACTTAACAACATCTCTTTCACACAACACTATTCTGGTTACTCTAATCCACAGAACTAACTATCAACACTTTTTCTTTGGGTAGAAAAGTAGTTCCCCCTGAAAATTGTGAGAATTATCCAGAGAAACTGGGACAAATACTCTGAAACTAGAGGCAGACCGATCCATCAGACAGGCGGACATTATGTGCAGATATTAGCTTAGTGCAGATGAAATTTCAGAAGAGAAATATCATAGATATGTGAGATTCATTTTCAGTACAGAACACAGTTCGTTAAAAAAACACATTTAAATGTGTTGTACATTAAAAATCTATATTGGCAGATTTTTTCTTTTTAAGTCTCAAATATTGATATTGGCTCTCCCAAAACTTTGACAAAAAGATCTTCAGCTACACGTATTACCTTCTTCTACACTAGAGCATCTCACGGTCTTAGTGAGTCTTAGTGGATATAGTTTGCTTAGAAAAAGATGCAGGTACTTGAGACACAGTGACCATAACCTGCAATTCAAGTACCAACTCACCGAACCAATTCTGCTAAAATACAAGCACATTTCCTGCTTTATACTCAGATTGCAGTTTTAAACCACACTTTTTTCAACCTTCAAAACACACAGTTCTCTACACACATAGACGTAAACATAAACTTTACTGTAAATATTCTGCAGGATATTTGTCATCATTCTGTTTTAAATGTGTTTTTAACAGTTTTGGACACTGTGTGTTAGCATTTGAAAAAAATGTTCTGCAGATATACAGTATAGTGTTTTGCAAGTGGTGGAGTAGTAATGAGAAAAAGTTCATGCAATTTGGAGAAAGTGGTCAATGAACACATTTTGCATGAAAGCAATGAAAAATGGTCCACATACACTTCTGTTTCACTGACTCTGTGAAGAGTTTTGATAATGTGACTTCTTAGCAACAGAAAAAACTGTAATGGGAGTGAACTGGGCCTTTAACGAAAGAGCTGAGTGAGCTTCTTTTTCTGTTTTTACTTTTTAAAGCAAACACTGTTGATTCTATTACCAGTAGGCTTTGTCATTAATGATTCTGAGGACAGCAGCAGTCAGCTGACCACTTCCAAGATTTCAGAGAGGAACAACACACAAAGCCCGTGCTGCTGGCTGAGTGCCGAGACGTGTGAGGACAAGCTGAGAGGCAGTGATCGGAGCAGATGATGAATACCTCTGGCCTGTTTAGGGTGCTTCAGGCAAGGGGAGCTACAGGTTAAAAATAACCTGTTTACCAGATCCTCGACTCCTCCTCAGAACTCTGCTTAGCTCAGGATTAAGGGAAAAATCAATTTGACACTCAGCTATGCAGAACATTTTTCTGGCTCACCTCATGATGACAAATGAGGACATATGCATGGTCTGTAAGTTTTGTGTGTGTGTGTGTGTGTGTGTGTGTGTGTGTGTGTGTGAGAGAGAGAGAGAGAGAGAGAGAGAGAGAGAGAGAGAGACAGGGAAAATGTGTAAAAACAATAGTTTTACCATATTGATTTATTTTACATGTGTTCATTGTGTGAAAGAATGTTCCTGTTTTTATTATTATCATCATTTTACATTATTGAACATAAAGATCTGAATAAAGATCAAATTCAAACAGTAGCAGCAGTAGATTTACTCAAGTACTATGCTACTGCTGTGCTAAGCACAATTTTTAGGTGCTTATAAAATGACAGTATGACAATATCGACTAAAAAAATTGTCTCACACTTTCAATTTGCTATACTGTTTTATCAAGCTATGCATTTAATATCTCTCCTTGCATTAGACAAATGAGGACAAATCAAGGGGCAGGACTACCACCACTTAGTTATGAAATAATGACTGTAATACTTGTTATTTTTGTGTATTTACTTTATAGGTTTTGTCAAAAGCAGATATTCAGATGAGGTTATTTTATCTATAATTGGCTTCTGAAATTAGTTTAATAAGATTTACAGTATTGCAAAATATAGTAAAATTGCAATATAAAATCACATAGAATGTGGTAGTAGATTTCAACCACATCACCCACAACAATTTTTACTCACAGTGCCTCCCTTTTACTCCTTATACAACTATATTTATTTGCAACCCTGCAACAAATTATAATTTGCATAACCATATACACTGTGAGGGAAAATTAAATCACTGCCTGGATTATTAATGTTTTTTTCTCGACTGAGTGAAATGCTCTGTTTACTTGCTGGACGGCATACGTAGGTAGGTGGTCTGGGTGGATGGTTGGTAAACAAAACGCAGGGGAACATTTTGAAAACTGATCTTTTCTTTCTTTTTGCTGGTTCTGGACCTTTTTAACTACCGTTGGACATTTTTATATATCAATTCAACAATGAATTGATAAAATAAAATGTTTGTTTGCGTTAACTTGCATTAACCTGCATTATACTTCTGCAGTTTCAAGTGAAATTGTGAATACGTGTGAGTATTTTGCCAACTGAGTACTTTTTCACCACTGAGTGAGCGTGAAAAAGGAATTTAAAGAGAACACAAAGGATCGGAGTGGATTGCTCTACGATGCCTAATTCTGACCTAGTACATTTTGACATACATATAATGTGCACATCAGGCCCTTATTGGCAGAGAGGGTGGTTAGAATAACCAAATCAACTTGAAAATTAATGGCCTTCATTTTTTTGCTTGTCAGGGTAAGTGCTGCTGTGTTTACTCAACAGCTGCCAAGCAGAGTTCACTTCTGGTGTAAGTAAACATGTGAGCAGCAAATGCAGAGCCCTTTCTGAAAACAGCCATCACGGAGCCAATACTGAAGACAGTAATATCAATTTATAACGTACTCTTATTACAGGGCTCTGCCACAAACTGCCACAACCCGATGAAGTAAACATGTTTACAGCATGATTTTCCTCTTGAGTGTTGCCGACAGGGTGGAAGAAAACATCCTCGCTCAAGCCTAGATGTGTTTCCTTTCAGCCCATAGAAGAGAGCAGGAAGGAGCAGCTATAGCATTAATTTCCTTAATAGCAGATCCCACAAATTATCAGGTAGCTTATTGTCAGTTTTTGTTTATATAACCTCTTGATGATAATAAGTGTGTGTTTTTCCATCTATTAACATCTGTGCAGCGTGTTGGTGGGAAGCCTTCATTAATGTATTTCCTGAGAGCACACAGGCCAAACAGTTATTTAGGGAGTCACATGTTCAGGCATCAATCAGTGCACTCTCAGGAGGACATACTTCATCCTCTGCATTTAGAAAAGCCATTTCCTTCCTTCCTCGGCTGACGAACACAATGCTTACATCAGTGATTAGGGACTGTTCATTACTTATGAGAGCAGGGGGAGGGAGGAGGGATGGGCGTCAAATAATTTAGTAAGCACTTGACTGGTAGAGGACAAAAAGCCACACACTGAAGGCAAATATGAACGATCTCTGCAGTCCCTACAGGAAAGACACCTGTCCCTCCAAATTTCACGGGTCTCTTTCATTGCGATTGTCATCGACTGTCATACACAGAGTGCACGTTGGCAGCTAACATTTTTCTGGCCACTGCTGCCACTGTGTCTGATACGTTTATTTGGGTCACCACTTGAGCACTGATGGCTCCTGTACCGGGGGCAGCATGCGATTTTGCATTTGCAAAAATCATGTCTGAAACTACTATTGCATCACCCTATCCATACTACACACCTCTGTGAAGCTAGGAGGCTCAGCTAGAACGTCAAACCGACCATTGTCATCCACACCAAACACACGTCAAACACCAAGCATCTAAATGAACTTATATCACAACATAAATCGCTCTGCACAGTGGCTGCAGTCATTGCCATCCACATATCTCTCATCTCATTCCGCACCGCAGTCTGACCACTCTAAAGAAAGCTCAGCTCCAGCTCTGATCAGCTGAGTAACTTGTATCACTCAAATCACTAAACTCACAGACTTATTAGCTGGATAATAATAACAACAAACGCACCAATATACATATTCAGTTACAACCGCTGACTTACTTTTGACATTTTTGCTGTTTTCAGTCCAAAAAGAGCTGTTTTCTGTGTGTATAAAGATCGTCTTGGGCTGCAATCTTACAATTGTGCAATAGCTGAGCTGTTAGGTTTAGTTTTTCTTGTCAAAATGAAGGAGAGAAGAAGTGTTCCTTTGGAACAGACGGTCTTTATGTTTGTCTACAAGCCGACCCTGTTGTGATTTAAGGATTTTGGTCTTGTTTTAGTTCTGTGTCTTGTGTTTTGCCTTATTCTTGTGAGGATTTTGTGTTTGGTTCTCTTTTCTTGTCTTACTTCTTAGTCCTGCATTTTAGTTCTGTGTCTTAGTTCTTAGTCCTGTGCCTTAGTTCTTGATTTATTTTGTATTTGTCTGGTGTTCTGTTTAGTTTCAGTCTTGCCTTGCCCTGTTATGTTGTGTTCACTCCCCGCCTCTGTGTTCTAGTTCTGGGTTCTCATTTAGGTTTTGTCTGTTATGCATGCATGCTGTGGTTTGTGTTACTTCTGTCCTGGTCTATTGTCGCATGCTTTACTTCCTGGTTTCTTTTGTAGTAGTCTGTGTCTGGTGTTTGTGTCTAGCTTATCCCTTTGTCTGATTAGTCCCTCATGTCTTTCACCTGTTAACTCCTGTTGCGTGAAGCTGTCTTGCGCTGTCTCCTGTGTATCAGCCTGCGTTTGGATCCATGTACTCCGCGCCCTTTTTGGTTTTTGTTCTGGACTCAGCCACTGCCTGTAAGTATGCTCGCTTTGTTTTAATAAATCACTGAACTCTGCCTGCTCAGCTCTGTGGTCTTGCGTTTGGGTCCTCAACTTGCTCACACAGACTGCAGCCCCCTTAACAGACCCGTAGGAGCTACGCAGACATCCAATATATCAAACAATTTGTCTGCTCAAGATGAAGAGATATAGCCCTGTAGGATGTTCTGTTCTCAAGTTGTGGGCCTGTAAAGCATGGGAGTGCAGTGGGAGTTTTTATCAATATTTCAATGTTTTGGAAGCTTTATTTGGAACGTGGTTGTATGGACAGAAATAGTCTTTTGAAGAAATCTCCCAATAAGAGTGAACAGTAAATATGGCCAAAACATGGACATTCGCCTGGTATATTTTTGAGAAATTGTGTAATAACTGTTGTTTATTAGTTTCTTTTCATCAAATTTACAGTTACACTTGTATTCCAGGTGTATTAGAAGATATTCAGTTGCATTATAATCAGTTGGATGATGGTTTTGATGGTGATATTGCTATTAAAATATAGATTTTATACCAGGCGAGAATGAAAATTGCATCTCCATTTACTCTTTAATAGAAAAATAAATAGGTTCACTTAGTTTATTTGATTCATATTCCTTAGCTTCTGACCTATCTAAGGAGACTAGAGTTATGCTTCTAGGCCTAATGGTTGAGGAGTTATTACTGAATCATTTTGGGTATGTTATTTTAGGCGTTTTTCCTGGAAATAGGTCTCTGTTTCCACATATTGCTAATGCTGGCTGTGTTCGCGCGTGCGTGTGTGTGTTGTGTAGGCCTGTTGAATTTTGTTGGTGTTGTGTGACAGAGTATGAGTGGCCATCATGCACCCATACTCTGCTGAAGGGCACACACGGCTTGTGTGATGATGCAATCATTTGTAAGGATGATTGGCAATTTGCTTCTCTCACTCCCTCCATGCTGCTTGCTGGTTCCATTGGCTGGACTAAGTTAGCGTTGGTTAGCATTTTTGTTTCACAGCTGGAACTGTCACAGTAACTTTTGCAGTAGTCTACTATGAGAGGATACAATAAAGTTGGGCTGGTAGTTTTTTTCCCCGACAAAGGAAGGGGGGGTGCAGAGGGCCAAGGTTTAAGAGTCATGGTTTGTTATTAAATGCAATGGTTAGTAAAGGTCAGCCTTTCCTTTTTATTTTCTCCATTATTAGCTTCCTTAGGTGTGAATATTATTTTTTAAAAAAGGTTATTTATGGTGGGGGGAGGCATGCGTTTTCCTCTACTCATTCAGGGAGGTTCAAGGAAAAATATTTATAGCTGTGGGTAGGGTAGTATAATAACAAAGTCAGAAGTTTCTCATCCATTCCAAGAGTAGCAGTTTGCAGTCAGAAAGCACTATGTCTAGGTCTGCATTATAAAGTAAGTCTCTTTGAATATACTAGGATTATAAACATGTTTCTTATACATTTGTTCTTCGGTTACATGTAGTGGTTTCTCTTCGCTTAAGCCACACCAGACCGATTTAAATCACACTACAAAATTTGAGATGAATGCAGCGATTTAGAAATCTGAAGGTTATTAAAAGTTGTCAAACTTGCTACCGAGTCTTTATTAAAAAAATATCTACTTAGCTGAGGCACCATTCTAATCGGTATATTATGCTACAGGAAAACATGCCTGTGAGAGCACAGCAGCTTTTTTCAATCCCACAAAAAGAAATGAAACAAAAGCAGAATAAAAATAAGTAACAAAAGTAACAAGAGAATAGGAATAGAGGGGAACACACCCTGCGTCCACACATCTGCTAAGCTACTGACAGTGTTACGTAACAAGACAAAGCACAGAATGTCCATGTGTCACTTTACTGGTCACTGTAGACCTTGTTTCAATCTGTGGATAAATCACGGCCCATATATGCAAATACACAGCCTTTCCACTGCCACTGAGGGGCTGTTTTCTGGAAAGGGGTGGGGGGGCTCTACACACTAAACAGCTTTCCATTGTTCAGCGGTGGAGTACTCTCTGCGCTCCAGAATTCCTGGGAAGCCAATTCACTAGAAATCTGCTGGCTGTTCCCCCTGGCCCTCTGTGGAGGGCTTCGCTGTTGTGCAACACATTTCATGTTCATTTGAATGCCAAAGCAGCACAGTAAGTACGCAACTGTAAATGTTTTATTTTATCCATTAAAAGCAGATCTATATCATGAATTGGTTCCATCTGGTGTTTGGTTTGGAATTTTTTATTCCAAACCAAATATATCAACAGGAAAAATCTGGGCATCAGGGTTGCCAAAAAATTACAAAATACGTTAATGCATGTTACATAATAAAAATTATTTCAACCGTGCTCAAGTCTTCAAATGCCTGCAAATGTGTTAAAATTCTAATCTATTTATGCTATGCTAATAAACTGAAGACAGTAATTACCAAATTAATATCAATATTCATAAACATACCTGGCTCAGAGGCTGACGCAGTGAAGACGTGAAGGAGGAAGAAGAGCATGGAGAGTCTGGCGGCCATGGTGTTGAGCTGTGGAAGAAACATGTGGTGAATGTTAGTTACTCAGTGCAGTCCACCCAGATGAACCACACAACCCTTGCAGGCCCAGCCCACTACCACAATTAAACAGGGACTCTCTTGCCCCTCCTTAACTTTTAAAAAAAAAAGAGGAGCGGTTGGGTACAATCAATTGTGAAAAGTGCTTTAGATGACATTATCAAATGACTTGATGTGTCAGCTTGTAAACCCCACTCCGGTGCATACACAGCAGCTTATCTTTTAGGTTATTCTATATCCTCACATTCAGCTGGATGAACCTTCCTTCCTTTCCTTTATTTCACTTATTGCAACTGAAATTCCAGCTACTTTTAATGCTTACACTTACACTATGTTTACACTTCAACTACCAATTTGTACATCTATTCAGCATCACTTCAGCTACTACTGTACTTCACTCAGTGCAGCTGAAACTGTCATTTCAGCTGTGTGAGGCACTTACACTTTCAGCTGAAACTTCAAGTCTTTAGCCCTTCAGTTTTAACTGCAACTTTCAACTTCTCTCAGAAATCTTCCTTCCGTGTTTACACTTCAACAAACACGAATTCCTTTAAGGGCTTTGTGACACTCCTTTTAACATCTCCACTTCAACTGATTAATTCACTGAAACTTCAACAACTGGTACTTCCTTTTTGCGGACACTTTGATTATTTCAGTAATGCTGTTCAAACTGTCACTTTAACTTAACTTCATTTATTATCTTTCATATTGTTATCATATCAAAATATCTAAAGACCCAACGTATTAGGAAATAATTTCAGATGTTTCACGCTGAAAATTTTGCATAAGCAAGCACACTGTCTTTTTCCATGTAATGTGAAATTTCAAGTGTAAGTGATGAATCATAGCACACAGCACTTATTGGACAGCGGGGGGGACCAGCAGGTCTAAATCAGAATCTCAGCATGTTTTATTCATTATTTTCTATGTAGTATTCACACTCTTTATCCTTCCTGGTGATGGGTGTTGCAAAAGAGTACACACTTTTGTTCTGAACGTGACATCCACCTCCAGCCAACAGTGCTGGATTCCTGCCAGCACTTGTGAAATCCATCCCTACTACATTCTGGCCTTGATTGGATTTTGTTTACTGATCCGTGTATAGGGATTCATACAGGACACATATAAGTTCATCTTGTAAGTTGGGGTCCTTTGTGCATTTGTGATTCCCAAAACATTTCTCAGTCTGATTTCTCATTTGAAATAACACACTTCGCAATATCTTTATAATCTATTTGGACATGGCTCCTTACTCAGATAAAAATGGCAATGTCGTTTTCAGAGTTTGCTGGCATTATGATTACTTCATGGCCTAAAATTTGTGTCAATAGACAGAACAGTAAGAACAAGTCAATTTTGTGCAGAGAGTATACAGGACAACTTGTGAACAATGCATTGGTCACACCCAACGGAAAAAATAATTATTGCATAGGAGTCACTGGACACTCTTCGTGACACTCAATGACCTTCTATATGGAGGCAAGAGTACTAACTCTTGGCCATTAGTCCTGAATAAATCAGTCACAGCTCTATGATGCTGTACAGGTGGAATACATTTCCAATGTATTTGTGGTTTTCTTGATTTGTAGTAGATATTTTAATACTTTGATTTCTAGAGAGATTTACTCTTCAAACTCTCTTATGCAAAGCATGGATAAAGATAGATTAAACCTCAAACAGATTGACTGAATGAAGTCAAACTAATACTATATAATGTTTCTGTCAACCCTGTAAACTGTAAAATATCCTGGCTCATTACAAATCTTTGTGACAACTCTATAAACGCCACATATGAAGGCAATCTGTCAAAAAGAGTTTTGGGCAGTACTGACTGGATTACTTTTTTTACTCTCCAACTCTCCACTCTCTCTACATCAGCCTCCAAAGTTAAGCATCAGTCAAGCTCTGTGTTATGTTCAAAAGGTTCACATGAGAATATGCTAAAAATAATTACTGTATCACTACTTGTGTTGGTTTAAGTGAAGGCTAAATACCTTAGAAGTGTTTATTATTATTACATGTATCTCAAATACAAGGGCCAGGAGTGAGAATGACAATGTTCATTTACACCAACATAAACTTTGCTGTAGTCACAGCATTATTATTTTGTAGTCTCTGTTTGCCACAGTTGGCCCACACTGAGTTAAGATAAGACACACTTTTACATTCAGGGATTTCTCATGCTGATAAGACAGACTAACAAACTAAACTACCCACATGGCAGCAGATGGCACAAGCTCTGTTTAGAAGAACATTCTCAAGGTCATCAGTTTGGGAGAATCCAGCAAAATGTTTAAATGTATTTTATTGCCATTTAGTCACTTTTCCCTGATAAACAATATTAACAACACTCAAACTATATTTTTGAGTTTCTCACATTTTATAATACAGAGAGGGTAGTGGGAGTTTAGCTTCCTCTATGTTCTTGCAAATGCAGCCCACAATTGTCCCTCATAACTTGGCTACTCAAGATTCATGACAATTGTGGGACTTGGAGTAATGGGACATAAAGCTTGAGAACCCCTGCTGTAAGAGGACATTGGAAAGTATCACCAGGTTGACATACTGTGTGGAAAATCTCATTACAATCACAATGCAAATCATTGAATTAAATCACATTGCAGTAAAATGTACAAAATGTATGTCAGAGTTCGCTGTCAATTGTGCTGTTGTTGTTTTGAGGAAGAAACAGCAAATGGAAAAGGGCAGCAGGGTGAGAACACATTGTGTCGATCATATTCCCCACTATTTTAAATCAAGATCAGTGTAAATGATGACTAACTCTTTATTATGAAGAGTACAGAATTATTTTACCTTCTCACTGTAACTCTGAATGCATGCCTTTTATACCATATCTGGATTGGTTGAAGTGTTACAACCATCCCCTTACATATAACTAAGAACACTTTCTTGATTTGAATAATTAATAATAATTTTACAGAATGCCCAAGCAGTGCACAAGAAAGCCTGACAGAGGTGTGCCTGCCCAATTTTTTTTTAAACGTCTGATAAGGTCACAGAAAAGGGCAAGTCAGTCAGGTCAGTTGGATCGGCCATGTAACGCTGAGTGGAAGCTGAGAGACCAGGGACCCAGTGATCCTCCCAGTGTAAGTAGGTTACATGAGCAGCAGCAAGGTGCAGGAGGAAGTGTTGGCTGACTATTTGACTCAGACAGCAGATGTGTATTATGGACTGACTGCACGTGAGATAAGAATATGACAGGTCAGCCAGTGGAGTCCAAAGTAGAATTGGATACTAGCGTAGGTGCCAGACAAATTGAAAAAACATTTTGTCTATTTACTCACATTTTGGGGCGGCTGGAGATAGAGCGGGTTGGCCGTTAATCGGAAGGTCGGCGGTTCAATCCCTGGCTCCCCCTGGTTGCATGTCGAAGTGTCCTTGGGCAAGATACTGAACCCCGAATTGCCCCTGGCGGCTATTCCGCCAGTGTATGAGTGAGTGTGAATGTTAGTTTCCGTTTGAGCACTTAGGCTCAGTGTATGAATGTGTGTGACTGGTGAATGCAGATGTAGTGTAAAAGCGCTTTGAGTGGTCGAAAAGACTAGAAAGGCGCTATACAAGTACGGAGCATTTACATTTTCTATTCCACTTTTTTTAAGGTGGGGCGTCATGGTGGTCCAGTTGACAGCGCTGTGGCCCTGCAATGGACTGGCGACCTGTTCAGGGTGTACCCCGCCTTTCGCCCGATGTCAGCTGGGATTGGCTCCAGCCCCCTGTCAGTGACCCTGTACGCAGGATATGATGATGGATGGTATTTCTTTAAGGTCAGAAAGTTTGTCTACCAACTGGCAGTAATATATAACATCAAACACCCACAAACATGGGGTGACAATCAGATAACAGGGCCTGACTGCTACACATCCTATATGAAGCGGAACCCCAATCTGTCGATGAGGAGACCAGAGGCAAGCAGCCTTACACGGGCCACAAGTTTATATCACACAAATGTGGAATGCTTCATCAACAGCCTTGAACAGGTCACTGAGAGACAATCTCTGATATTCAAGTAGTGTGAAGATGCTCTGCCTGCAGCTAAGACACCCAAAAACATTCAAGCCGGTTTCCAGTCCACACGTATTTGGCTCTTCAATGCTGACAGGGTGACTATGCACCCTCACAAGACCATGACTGTCCAGTCCCAGGTACGTCATTGACATCTGGAGATTTCCAGAAGAACAGGCAGTGTAAAATACTCATTGATGGAGGAAGAACAGAGAAGAGGAAGCAAACATGTAAGAGAGTATCTTCTGGAAAGAATAAAGGCAAGCAAAGAAAATGGAAAGAAAGTCTGCCAAGAAAATGCTGAAAGCCAAAGGTGAGGATTAGGAGACTTCAAATTATGATGTTCTATACACAGATATGTTGTAGTGGAGTGTTCATTAAGCACACGTACCTTAAGGAAGTTCTAGTAGACTAATTTACACACACACATTACTGATTCAAACAGAAAGTGGATTTGAGTTCTGGTCAATCACACACAGAGAGAGACACTGTTCTGGATTGTCCCTTTATTTCATTAAACCTCTTATTGAAGCATATCGCATATCTAATTTTTACATCTTATGTGTTACAATCTCACCCAGTGTTGGGGTAGATTCCATAAAAATCGTGACAAATGCCTCTCAGGATTTTTTTTGTCTGCGCAACAGTCCAAAATAAAAAATAGCAAATCCTTACAGAAGCTGGAACCAGGGAATGTTGTATTATTGATTGAAGAAGGATACAATCAATTATCAAACTTGTTGCTGATTAATATTCAATCAACTGATTGTTTCATTGGGATTTTTTTTCTTCTTCTTTCTAAGAAATAAACAATAAACAGTATTCCACTTTAAGATTGCACCAAATGGAAATCATACAATAACGTAGTCCCCATTAAGTGTATTAATTCATTAATATTAATTAATATTTCACTTCATGGAGTCCTGAGTACATAACATTGCTATCCACCTCGATAAGCATTTTTTGTTATGTACTTTAGACAAATTTAACATTTTCTTCTCAGTTTCATTGTAATTACATCTCCAGTTTGTTTTCCAGCCAGTGTTTGGACTCAGACCTGTTTTTCCCAGTGCGCTCTCTGACATTGTGCAAGATTCATGGAGAACATGTAAATAAAAAGCTGTGAGCTCTGACACGATAACCTGCAACAAGAAGCAGGGATATAAGCTGCCTCTATAAGACAGCTGTAAACATTTCAGTTTAAGGTTCTGAGTTCAACGGACCGCTATCAGTTCACATTCTGCTGCGTAAACACCACAGACTGTATGGAAAATAGACATGAACATGCAGGAGACGAGAGCCTACTCACCGCTGTGGTGAAGTGGACAGCAGTCTGCTCCCCGTCCAAAAGGTCTCACGGGGCCTTGATAAAACAGCAAATACAGCGAAATAATACAAAACTCCAGAGTCCCTCTAAACAGACCCAGGACACCCTCTAAAAACCAAACGGGACTGTTAAACCGAGATCGTTGCAGGCACTTAACGCTGTCTGTAGAAACCCTGCCTGACTGGCTGACGGTCTGTGTTTGAAGCAGCAGCACAGCTGTTACACTCACCCTGTTGTTCCCGAGGCAGAGTGAATGGCGCCATCTGTCGGTGGAGACTCGGTACAGCAGATCTCCAGGAAAAAGTGTATGTATTCTCTATATGTCCCATTTACTGTTTGTCACTGACCTACTGCACATTGTTTGTATATGAGGGTACTTTATGTAAAAGGTAAATGGCTGCATTTATATAGTGCTTTTATCCACAGCACTTACAGTTGAATAAAGCTCAACTACTGCCATTTTCTACTAAACTTAAACTATTTGTCTTTGTGTAATGAAACTGCTACCCAACAGTTTTAGAGTAGTATTCCCCAGCCTGTGGAGTCACCTTTCAGGTCATGTTCAGTCAGTGGTGCATGTGTCTCACCCACTCACATGTCAGCAGTAACTTTTCTCAGACTGTAAGGACCACCGACACACTCTCCACATGCTGTGCATACCACACACCTAGTCTAGAATTTGAAAGAGGCCACTACATCAGTCATGTGGCTAAATATTGACTATAGTATAGTAGATACTGTATAGCTGTTGTTAGTGTAAGACAACCATCCTGTTTTTGTATTTCAGCCTTCAATAACTCATTTATTCCATTTCATATGGCTTCCCCACCACCACCCCTTAGAGCTGTGGGTTTATCCGCTTCAAACCAAGTTGATCATTTACTTGGGTGTCCACATGTGCTCAGCCACCATGAGAGCAAAGCTGTCACAAACAGTTTATAAGTGTACATGGCAGATCTTCACCAGGCTGGAGTGAATGTATCTCAGGTTGTTGGAGGAAGGTGAACGAAAGCCTCCTTTTCGCCACATAAGCTGTCTGGAGCTGTCCACGGTCCTGGAAGTGTTTTAGCACTTTGTGTCCCACAATCATTCAGATGCTGTGGGACAGGTTTGCGAGGTGAAGGTAGATCTGTTCGCCCCATAAGAGAACATGTAATGCACACTGTGGTTTTCAATGAATGCATGACCCTCCACTGCTGGGAGTGAACACCATCTCTCACCAGTCGTTGTCCAGAGCTCTCCTTCAAGCGTTTCCCCCAGTGTCCCTCATTCCTAGCCTCTCTGAGTATAGGCAAAGCCCTCTTAAACTCAGCCCCTTTGCTCCAATCCACTGGCAGTACTTCAAGAAACTTTTTTTGAAAGCAGAACTCAGGTCACGCAAATTGATATATACAGTAGTAGAGTGCAGGTCTACTAAACCAGAAGCTCTTAGAAAGCTACATATATCATTTTCGTATACTCAAAGAATCTGGAGCTACAATACACAACTAAGGTTTGGCCACTTGAGGGCAGTAAACAAACCGTTGCCTATTATCTAAATACCTGGTTCTTTAGCTACTAAATGCTCCAATATGTTCACGAGCTAGCTGCTAGCTGCGCCTGTCTGCTTTTTGGTGCTGGGCAGGTAGTGTACAGTGGGTTTTTACAGCTTTTGCCTGGAAATTATACTAAAAAGTTTGTTGCTTATAAAACACCATCATAGGAACAGTGTAAGTTAGTGTAAGTTGAGGTAGTGATAATGGCAAAGGTAGCTGAAAGTGAAAAATATCATAGAATCATAGAAGATTTATATTCTCTATTTTCTCTATTTCAGATCTGACTAATTGTTGAGGTGAAAGATAAGTTATTTTGATTGAACCTGCATTAATTCGTTTTTGGGCAGTAAGGGCAGAAAAGGGCCACAACATGCTGACAGACACTCATTTCCGATCAATGATCTCCATGTATAGTTGTCCTGTCTAAAATGCTAGCAATGTGCACATCCAGCAGACACAGAGCAACATTATCATTCCATTGGAGCCATGTTTGTGTACACCTGATGCATTTATGTCCAATTTCTCCTCTTTTAGTCTTCTCAAACTAAAAAAATATTTGGCTAGTTAGCCGCTAAATGCTTCATTATATTTAAATATTTGGGCAGTTAGTGTAAAGTGGCTTTTAACATGTTTCAATGTTTCTGATTAAAGCACTGAGAGTGAACCAGAACAGTTATGTTGCTGGCTAGAAAACCAAAAAAATTACCTTAAAGTCACTGTGACTAATAATTCTTTGTGTGGGAGCTGCTGCAGCCAGCGTTATAGCCAGTGATTTAGAAATAGTAAGGTCATAAGTTCAAATACCCCCAGCAGAACCCCACCCAAAAAGTATTTCACTAGCCAGTCATACTAGAAAGTAAAGGAGTCTCCACACAATGTCCGCTTCATCTTGAATAAAAACAGGTAGACATGCTGTGGAGATACATTTCTTGGTGCCCCGAAGAAGACAATAAGTCACCACTAGATAGCAACCACAACTAACTAGGCCTACAAAGACACTGACACATATCTCCCTGTTCATCAGGTGCTGGTTCTCTAGTTGGATTAGCTCCAGGTCTGGTGACAGGTCTGGTACTTTTTGTTACGTTAGTCCTGTTCTCTGGAACAAACTGCGCCATGTCCTGAGATTTGTCACAACGTAAAGCAAACTGCTTTTCTTTTTCTTTGTGTATAGTTTATTGCATTCCTCTGGATGTCACTTATTGCTTTGGATGTGAAGCACATCAAGTTATCTTGTAATGAAAAGAGATTAAATCTACATGATTAAGTGACACACAATAAATAACGACTAGGATTGGTTTTAATTGTGCACAAAATGAAAACTAAGGGTTTTGGAAGACTTTACAGCTTATTTTAAGATATTAGTTGCAGGGTGTATGTAGAGGAGGATGAGCCATATAAACAGGGTTTGATGACAGGCTGAGGAATTATTTATGGAATTGAATTTATATTTACAGATATAAAACAAATTTAAAAGAATAAAAAAGATGATTAGGAATAACACTTAAACAATGGACTTTATATTCTTTGTTTCTGGTTACAAAATACTCACACACTGCATAAATAGCATTAAAATTGTAACCAATTGGGGATTTTTTTGACCTTGGTCATACTCTCTTCTGACAGCAGGATAACCAGTTGTGAAACATCTACTTCTGTTGCAATCCACTGAGGCTATTCTGACAAAAAAGCAGATTTCGTCATGCTCCTTTTTGCCCTTCAGCACTCAAAGCAAACAGGATTATCTTTTTTTTTTTTAAACTGGAAATAAGCTTACAGTGTTGTTGGAAATAATCAAGCTCAGATAAAAGAGCACAAACAAACAAAGCTCGACTGAAGCTGTGGAAAAGAACACTGGGTCTCTGTTCATGACTCAATGTGTGAACAGAAGCGGTAAGATCTAATGGGTGAAAGTTTCTTCAGAGTGGGAATTCCTAAACAGGGAACAGTTGAGCAATCGCCCCTGCTGATTATATGAGCCTCAATACAGTGCTGGACCAGACGAGAGAGCCGAACTTTTTGAGGAGCACATCATGAAGGTACTGTAAACTCCACAATCCATTTCCATTCAAATTTGGTTCCACTATTATATAAAAAATTGTTTCGTATTATTTTGTTTCTGTGAGGAAGAGAAATCTGAGAAAACTCAGTAACAAAGTCAAAGTTTTAGTAATATTTCTGAGGATTTGTTGACAGAAATGCAATATAATATACATAACTATGTTTTCAGTGGTGTATAAAGGCCTTACATAATGAACCCTTATGTTTTTATTACCTTAGAATGGGCTGTTTCTATTTACATACACCGCGGGTCCTCTTAAATGTTGGTCACCATGTTTCTACAGTAGTCCAAATGGACAAAACTCTCTACAAAATGCGTTTTATCACTATGTTGATTATTACAAAGGAGAAAGAAGAAGAAGTAGTAGAAGTAGTCGTCTGGTTTGTTAGAAGTACAAAGAGTATAATTTGGACTAATGACGGAACACACATATTATTTAGCACAAGAACCGACAGAGCGTGTTAGCCACTGTAGCTTCTCCTGCGCATTAGCAAGTGGGGGGTTGAGCGGTGATTGTGCACTTGGTTGCAATTTGCAACCCTCATCACTAGATGCCAATAAAACTTACACACTGAACCTTTAACATGAGATTAAGTTAATAATTTTCTTGCTTTTTGTGTACAGTTGGCTTTGGATTTGGTTCCATCTCTGTCTTCTTTGGCATTGCTGCTCATCTTTTTGTCTCCAGTTTGGTAGGTGCACACACATATACCACACAAGCTGTCTTTACATCTTAATGTATTGCTGTTGTGAAAATGATGTCTCTTCTCCACATTATCCATACTACACATAAGAATGCAGCTTTTTTAATTTGATTTCAAAAGACTGGTTTTGGCGTGTGCTATGTTGATCTAACAAGTTTCTCAAGAATTCTCAAGAAAGGAATATAACAAATATCATTTTAATAATGTCAATATCCATTCCTCTCAGCTGTCAGCAGCCTGTAAACTGTAGATGGGGGCCTTATGGAGAGTGGTCTGAGTGTGATGGCTGTTCCCGTACAAAGGTACTTTAGAGCATGCACACACTCTTACTGTATTAATACTGGCTATGGCTAAACTTGTGGTGACCAATTGTTGTCCCCAGATTGATGGTGAGTCCCCACAATGTGGATGTGTGAACATGGCTTTGTCCTCACAATGTAATTTACTGAAAACAGAGCACACATCAAGTATTTAAACAGTTGCCTAATCCCCTGTGTTGGCTGATGCTCACAACATTGACACTGTTACATAAATCCATTAAGTAGCTTGAGAATCATAGTGTATGTGAAGAAGGTCAGGTCATAACAGGCAGTGCCACAGACAAAACAGGTGGTGCTGAAAGCTTGGTGACTTATTAGCTACTAGCAGGGCTTGTTTGTGAATTCTGTGTCATGCTGTAGCCATGTGGAAACTCCTCAATACTAGCCAGTCGCAATAGATTTCCAAGCTAGCTAAAACGTATATACAGTTTATTCAAAAGATGTACAACATTTACCACTGACTCCTGTCTCAGAGATTGCAAACCATGTCTTTTTCATGGCACAGTTTACACCCTGTCAGAGCAGGGTTATATCAAATCTGATGGAGCAACACAACTAACGATAGCTCTCTTGCTCTCCGTTTCCTCATATGTCAGCACTGTTTAGACGGTTCACTATTGGTCAGTGGCACAAATTCAGGTAAACCTGCAGCAAAAGATTTGCTATGATTTAAAGTTTGCCCCCACAAGCATGTCCAAGGATGAACATGATTATAGTGAAATGAAATTTCACTATAATCATACATTTTTGCCGCATTATAACTGTTTTAAGTGCTTTTGTGATTTTGCCTATGGACAGAGTTTTATTAATAATAAAAAGAATATTATTTATATAGCACTCATCAAACAATAGTACAAAATGCTTTACAAAAGATAAAAAAGGCATGTAACAGCACCATAAAAGATAAAATGCATGAGGACAACGCAAGATACAAAATACATATAAAAAATGGAAATCACAAATAAGTACAGATTAACTATAAAAATAGACCAGAGTAAATAGCAACTTTATATAACTAGAATAAATAATCGTAAGATAAAACAGGCAGCTCAGATAAAATCCATATATACCTTCTGATAAAAATGCATTTTTAAAAGTAGACTTTGAGAGCCTTACTTACTCTGGCCTTAGCACTGTACACTGTTAGCCAGAAAATCTCAAATTACGCAGAGGTTCAGAAGGAGTTAAGAGGTCTAACAAATAAGTAGGAGCCAAGTCATCGAGAGCATTCATAGTAATCATTAAAATCTTAAAATCAATCCTAAAGCAAACAGGGAGCCAATGTAAAGAGGCTAACATAGGAGTGATGTGATCTTACCTTTTGGTCTGAGCAGCTGAATTTTGTACAGTCTGTATTCGTTTTAAGCTGTTGCAATAATCAAGAAGTGAGGAAATAAAAGTATGTACAACAATTTCTGCACCTCTGAAATTTAAAATAGAGCTAATTTTAGCAATTTCCGTAACTTGTGGGTCAGAACATCATGTTGGGACTATGCACAGTGTCAACGGAAATTTCTAGGACTGACAGTAACAATAGTTTTTTTATTTAGTTTATAAACTAATTTGGGCTGCCTTCCTGTTGAAAATAAACTATTGTGTTATTAAATGGAGTCACCAAAAAGTCCAGAAAACGAACAGAAATCCCAGTCTGACATATTATGTACTGTGGGCCTTCCACTGTGGTTCTAAACTGATGCGTGAATACATAAAAACAGACAAAGTATTTACTTTGTTCACTTCTTTAAATCATTTCATGTTTAAGGTCATTTTCTTTTCAGGTGCGGACTCGCCATATGCAGGTGTACGCCCAGTTTGGGGGCGTACCTTGTACGGGAGAAGCTGCACAAACAGAACAATGTGTCCCACAGAAAGGATGTCCCTTGGGAACAGGCTGTGGAGACAGGTTCCGCTGCACCTCTGGTATGTTGCGACATATACTGTATTTTACAAATTGTACCTAAGCAATTTTTTAATAACATTAATATGAAATTATATTTTTGTCAAATAACAACAAACGTGCCACAATACTGATGTATTTGTTTATTTATTTAAAGCTTGGGTCTGAGTAAATGTTTTGATTTTTGGGGCTTCACTTGATGTGTCTCACTTGTCACCATCACATAATATTCTTTTACACATTTGTTCAAAAAGACTGTACAGACATAATTAAGAATTTTTAGATATAATAAAACATACATAACTTTTTTTTAACTTATGCTTCTTGCGATGTGCAAATAAAACTCTTCATTGAAACCCTGATGCAGGTAAGTGTATCAGCCGGTCTCTGGTGTGTAATGGAGACCAGGACTGTGAGGACGGCCTGGATGAGAGAGGATGTGATCAGGACAGCAGCCACTACTCATGTGACCTGGACAAAACGCCTCCCAACTCTGACTTCACAGGCAGAGGGTGAGTATCTACTGTAACTAGTGATTTTAAATCTGCTTGTAAATAAGAATGCCATTTGGGGGTAAAATATATATCACCTAAAAGTCTATAAAATGGATTTGTTGTGTCATGTTTTACAGGTACGATGTGCTAACAGGCAAACTGAGAGCAGGTGTGATCAACACTCTAAGTTTTGGTGGGCAGTGCAGGAAGGTTTTCAGTGGTGACCATAAAGTCTATTACAGACTGCCACAGAACATCCTCAGGTACAACTTTGAGGTGAGTAATGGAATATGAACAGAGATAAAAAATAAAGTAAATGACAGAGGAATAAAGTAAATGACAGAGGACGGTGAGCTGTTCTTACAGCAGCTGCTCTATTGAAACTAAATGTTTCCTTTTTGGGCTGCAGGTGAAAGTAGACAATGAAGAGAGCGATGAATCCTATGAGAGCTCCTGGTCTTACATGCAGCACATCCAGTCCAACGCCTTATGGGGACACGACCGTCGCACTTTCCACAAAGAGCTCACCGACAATAAGGTAATGATGTAACCTGAGCTGCTTCACAAATCACTTATTCAGACTTCTTACTATAAGTGTTGGACAAACAGACATTGCTGTCGTTGGGCTCACTAGTAGGGTTAAAGGTTTCTGTTCACCAGCATACAAGGAATGACATCCTGGTCTTTTCACATCTATCATCCAGGCCCACAGACTTATAATCCTGAAGAATAAAGTGGAGCTGGCCCAGTTCCAAAACTCTGCCCCCCAGTATCTGACCTTGTCCGAAGGCTTCTGGAAGGCCCTGTCCTCGCTGCCTTTCACATACGACTACTCAGCCTACCGCCGGCTGTTTCAGACATACGGCACACACTACCTCTCAGAGGGCTCGCTCGGAGGCGAATACCAAGCCTTTTTGGAGTTAGACCGTCAGGCGCTCGCATCGACCAGTAAGAACGTTTGGTGTGATAATTGTTGCTATTGATATTAGTGCTTTTACGTACACAGAAATCTTGATTCAGCTCATAAAATCTGAAGCAGAGTGAATATGATGTGTTGAGGTGTTTTGTATTTTTAGGGAATATTGTGAATTTGTTTCTTGCAGTACCACCTATGAGCCTTTAATTTTTAGACGTAATAAATAGAGTAGTTGATAGTAGTTGAGAAGTAAGTACTTTTACTTGCACTGTATCGATTGGCTAAAAAACATTGGTGATACATTTATAATATAAAATAATTCAGACATGCTATTTTATGAAGTACACATATTATTTAAAAAAACAAGCACTGTTAAACACTTATTTTCT